CAACCAGGAAGTTCTGCGACGGCCTGGGCCTCTCCTACCATCTATCTTGCCCTGCATAATGAGTTGGAGTATTTGGTACTTTGTGTTGCGTAGAATATGTCCGAAATAGTCTAGTTTTCTCTTTTTGATAGTGTGTATGACTTCTGTTTGTTTGTTTAGTTGATTTAATATGTCTATATTTCGGACTCTGTCAACCCACGAGACTCGCAGCATGCGTCTGTATGTCCACATTTCGAAAGCCTCCAGTCTTCTGCACATGGTTTCGGTCAGCGTCCACGATTCGGCCCCATACATGAGCACACTAAAGACATAGCATTTGAGAATGCGAATCCTCAAAGCTAAATCGATATCGCGGCTGCATAACACGGCCTTCATTTTAACGAAGGCGCCCCGGGCTTGCTCTATTCGGGATCTTATCTCTTGTGTGTTGTCCCACTCTGCGTTAAGTATGCAGCCTAAATATTTGTAATGTTGGACGCGTTCTATGGGTTTTCCGTCGTACTCCAAATCACCCCACACATCTCTATGTTTGCTTACTACTAGCCATTTAGTCTTTTTGATGTTCAGCTTGAGTCCCATCTCCCTACTTCTGTCTGCCACGCAGTTCCAAAGTTCCTGCAGGTCCTCCAGCGTACTCGCGAGAAGCACAGTATCGTCCGCGTATCTGAAGTTATTTATAACTGTACCGTTGAGAATAATACCTTGGTGTTTCTCGTATAATGCTTCTTCAAAAATGCTTTCGGAGTACAGGTTAAATAACGGAGGCGACAGTACGCAGCCCTGTCTCACACCACGCATGATTCGAACCTCATCCGACATCTCTCCGTTCACTACTATTTTTGCTTTCTGGTGCCAATATAGATTTGCTATTATTCGTATATCTCGTTCATCTAGGTTTTGTTTCCTTAGTATTTCAATGAGTTTACTGTGCTGGACGGTGTCGAAAGCCTTCTCATAATCTATGAAACACGCAAACGCATCTACGGACACATCCCGGCATCTCTGCACCAACACCTGCATGCTGAACAAGGCCTCACGTGTACCCATCCCTTTTCGGAAACCGAACTGTGCATTGCTCATATTCTCTTCAATATTTGGCGTTCTGTTTCTTTGGTATTGTTACAAATGTCGAAAGCAGCCAATCTCTGGGAATTTTACCACTCCTGTAAATTAAATTAAATAGCCTTACCACAACGTTAAGTGATTGTTCTTCTAAAAGTAGTTTTAGGAGTTCAGAATGTGTTTCGTCGGGTCCTGGCGCTTTGCCCCTCTTTGCAAGGCGTATTGCATGTTCCACCTCTTGCCTGGTTATATCAAGTCCTTCTCCTGGCAAGTCCATGAGCCCGTCTCTGATGTCCCCAAAAAGTTCCTCTATATAACTGCACCATTCCTTTAATTTTGTTTCGGTATTAAGGATGACTTTCCCCTGTTGGTCCATTAGTAATCCTGTGGACCTGCGTTTATATAATCCGGCCGCTTCTTTAATCTTTTTATGCATGTTAAAGAAATCATGTTTGGCTTGCAGACTTTCGATTTCACTGCATTGACCGGACAACCATTCCTGTTTTGCCTGTCTGATTTTCCTTCTAATTTCTCGCTGAAGCAGAGAGTACTTTACTTGGTTCTTGTTTTTTAAAAGCCTTCGTTGTTCCATCAGGTCTAAGATCTCGTCCGTCATCCAACAGTTATTCTTACGTCGGGTTTCTGTCTTGAGCTTGGCTTTGCTAGTTTCAACTAAGGCATGTTTAATTACATTCCATGATGTTTCTATGTCTTCTTCCTTAGTATTAGTATTTAGCAACTTTTCGTTGAGCATTTCTTTGACTTCCGTTCTAAGTTCTTCGTTGTTAAGTTTAGATGTATCGATCATCCTAGTTTTTGTTTTGGTCTTTAACTTTTTAAGGTTTATTCTCACAGACACTATGACGGGGTTGTGGTCTGAGTTCAAGTCCGCTCCAGGGTATGCCTTCCCTGAACAAACACTGTTGCGAAAACGCTTCCCGATCATCACGAAGTCAATTTGGCTTCGTACAATTCTATCCAGGGTTTCCGCGTTTGATCTCCATGTGTGTAAGGATGGTTCGGGAAGTTCAAACAGAGACGTGGTATAAATTATGGACCGATAAAGAAACGTAAAGAACGTATAACAGTGTTAGTAGCTGCCAATAGAAGTGGGAGAGAAAAAAGAAACCTAGTCGTGATTGGAAAATCAACTAGCCGACGATGTTTTAAGCAAGGCACGGGTGACCTCGCAAATTTTTGAAGAGGAATGCAGAATTAAACTGTCAAACCAACAAAGTTATTACAGCCGATGGACCAAAGCATAATACAAAGTCTTGAGAGTCGATACAGGAAAAACATGTTAACGGAAATGATCGAGTCCGAAGACAAAATTTTTTATTCTTCAAAACAGTTTTAGCAGCATAAACGCTGTATTACTCAATATATTAGGAGCACCATCTACTGCACGACAAGTTATATTTTTCATTGGGGTATAATTGACGTCTGGGTAAGTTCTCAGCTTGGACAACCACTAAATTTTTTATTTTCGACGAGTTCTTTTTCAATATCTTCAATTTTCATATTCTCGATGTGCCTCTCAACCTCCCACTATCAGTAGAATGTAAAAAAAATGAATATCATTGTAGCTTTCGTTACCAGAGCTTTGACGATAATTTGGCCGTAAAACTACAATAATAATATCAATATCTGTTAATAACTCCACTGTTGGGGGAACCTCCCAGCCATCGTCGTCATTATTTTTGTACTTCTCGAACCACCGAATCAGAAGTAAGTCATCATCTAAAAAACTGATCACAGTCTTCTTCCGATTTAATCAGACCAACATGTCCAAAGTAGTTTGAAATAGTGGTTGAAGTACGATACAAAAAATATCCGCGGTAATAATTTAAATTATGTTTTGTTATTAAATTGAAATTTCAAAAATAGTATTTAATTTTTCTTCAACTGAGGAAGAGGAAGTAATTGAGAACGAGAGCTTAGAAAACAGCACCTCCAAAAAAGAATTCAGAGAACACAGAGGTAATATTCAGAAAATTCGTAAAATTAAACGAAAATCTGGGAAAAGATACGATACACAATCGGGAAAAACTATTCCCGCCAAAGTTTCTCAAAATGAAGATGGCCAATGCCGAAAAGAATGTACTTGTAAAAAATAATGCAGCGTATCACCTAATTTCATTTTTTATTTTAGGCAAAATACCGCGAAAATGTAAAAGCAAATCAGGGGCACCCGTTCGTGTTGCTTGGTCTGAAGAAGCCCTTTGCAAAGCTTCTGGGGAAACGGATAAAGGCCAAGTCGGTGTAAATGAAATATCTCGTCGTTATGGTATTCGGCATCGATCGGCAGTCTCCCGGGATTCGAAATTCGTAACTTTGTTACTGCCCGAGTTTTGTTTGTTTTTCGACATCGGCAAACATCGAAAATCCCGGCGGGCGCCTATCGATCGTTTTTCCGACGTCGAGAGGGGGGCGGTCGTCTTTGTACCGCCCCCTTTTGATCGGTAACGGCCGGACGCGACAAACGCCGGCCAGATAAAATCATAGGTCGCGATCGTAAAGTTTTATTGCGGCAAATTGGATTTTATCGCCGGAGATGATGGCGCGTCGTAAACGACGACCGACGGGAGGCGGAGCCGCTGATTGTAAACTTTTTAATTGCGCCATTCGCGGAAACGAAAAAGAACCGATATCGCTGGCGAGCGACATCTTGTGTTGGACCGAGTGGCTAAACCGTGGCGACAACTGCGTGTTGGATAATGTATGCGTCGCTGTATTTGCATCGAATCGTTGTATAAATTAAAATGATATAAAAAAATCGCCTTTAAATATTAATCAGCTCGCTTTTCTGATGTCAAACTAGAAAATGCGTTGACGTGGTTGTTTAAATTGCTTTAGTATTTACTTGGCAAACTTTGAATGGTCAGCGCCATCTCGTAACTAAATTGATGAGCAACGGTTGAAGTTTATTCCGATAGATGGTAAATGTTTTGATTTTGCGCATTGATAGTGTTTGACTGACGAATACTGGCTACTTGGAAGACCGTAACGAGAAAAAGCGAACGATTTGCCGTATTTCTGACGCCTGAGTAGTAAGCACTTTGGTTTTGTTGCTTAAAGCGAATTAAAAATCATTTTGTGACTTTGATGAATTTAGAGTCAACGCTCGCAGGTTGTAATCTTGATTTATCGTTAGAAGCGCATTGGCTTAACGCCTTTCCGACTTCTAATTAAAAAATGGGTTCCCTTTGTTGCCTAAAAGGCTTTAAAACTTATTTCGCATGCTTCAAACGGTCAGCGTCATCTCACAACAGCTCGGATAACTAAAGTCAGGACGATGGTTAATTTATTAAGTAAAAAAAGTAAAAATCTCCTATGCCCGATTAGTACATAGATTCACTTAAAACGCTTAAAAAATCCTATTATGACTATAACATATCAGCGTAGCAGTTCTGCGGACTAAATTCTCGACGCAAGGGACAGTCCGCGCTTTTCTCGAAAGATGGCGCAGTTCGTTTAAAAAAATATATAAAAATCATCTGAAGCTAACGGATATTGCTTATTTCTGGTCAAATTGTGCTCTTTATAAGGGCCCGTATATTCGCTTAGGTGCTCCGCTTTGCTTAAAACGGTTCAATTATCGCGGCTTTTAAAATTTGCAAACGTCATATGGAAAAGTTTTCCAATAGGTCGAGCCAATGTAAAAGAATAATAAAACTTCCGAAATAACCCAAGAAACGCTTGTATTTGACGGACTTTTGATGCTAGATTAGCATATAAATTACGATTCTGATAACGAACTCTCGTGACGCTTGCTGGCGCCCTCTAGTGGACAGAGGCGAAACTAATTTCACTGCCCTGACCGATTTTTCATTACTCCCTAACAGATACTGTCCGCTATCAAAAGAAAAATATTTTGGAAATGCGATTTTTTTGATTTCCGCGTAATTAGGGCGTAGGGAAGAAATAAAACCATGACGTGGTTAAACATTTACCATTTACTTATACATTTTACGTAAACGTCCGCAACTTCACTACAAAATGACATAGGCAAGTCGAGCCCTTAACAGAAACACTAAAAGCAATCAGAAAACGCGATTTACTGCTCCTCCTCGGGTTTTGCGGCCTCCGCTTCCGCCTCGTCCTTCTCCGCCTTCTCGGACTCCGCCTTCGCCTTTTTCTCCTCAAATTTAAATCTGAAACGCCGCGGTTACAAAAAAAATACCCCCCACCCCCCCGCAACAACGCTCACCTGTCGTATCTCTCTCCGTTCACGTGGGAGTCGTCGTCGTCGTCGTCCTCGCTCTTGTTGCCGTCCGCCTCGCCGAGGAGCTCCCCCAGGTCCTTGTCGACCGCCTCCCACAGTTTATCGTCCTCGGCCGACTTGTTGGGATCCGCGTCGTCCTTGGCGCCGCTCCCGTCGTCCTTCTTGCCCTCGCCGCCTTCTTTCTTCTTCTCCTTCTCCGCCGTCTCCTTGCGTTGCAACTTCTCCGCCCTCTTCTCCAACTCCTGGTTCTCCTTGTAGCGCACGTAGCGCTGCATGTGGACGCGCAGCTTGCAATGCTTCGAGAGCACCTGGGCGACGTCTTCGTCGCGCGCGCGCGGCAAATATATGCGACAAAGGTCGCAGTAGTGCGACTCTACTTTCCGGATCTTCTCGATGCCGACGTTCACCGGCTCCTTTTTCTCCTTCTTCTTGTCCTCGTCCGAGCCTGAAACGCGAAACGTTAAGCGGGGAGGCGACCCTACGAAGACGACACCCACGTACCGTTCTCGTCGACGTCGCCGACGGAATCGATGGTGGTGAAGTCCTCCAGGTTGTCGTCGTCGCCCGACTGCTCGCTCGCGTCCTGCCGCTGCTGCTGCTCCTGCTGCTGTTCCTGCTGCTGCTTGCGCTGAAATACGCTCTTCGGTTAAGTTCGATTTATCAAAAACAAAAAATAAGTTTATTTGAATAATTAAAGCAAACCCACGTTCAAAATATTATTAGAATTGTTTTCCACAATAAACTAATTTAATAAAAAAAAACCTTTTTTCATTTATTTCATGCCCTAAAAAAATAAAATGGCCTTTGTGCGATACCCAAACAACAAAGTATTTCCAAATTCCCATGTTTTACCCTCAACACCACCTGGAAAATCGCTCCTACCTTAATGTGCTGGATGGAGCAGCAATGGCTCTCGTAGATCATGGGACTCTTGAAGGTGATGCTGCAGACCTTGCAGCGCGGCATCAGGAAGCGTTTCATGTTTTTGTGGGACTCGCTGGCCAGGTGCACCTCCTTCGGCTGCTTGTAGTTGAGACGGCACAGTTGGCAATAGTGAGTGTGCTCGGTAAGGTCCTCGCCGCTGCCCTTTTTCTCGAGCTCGTTCTGCGACTTGCGCTGCGCCTGGCGCATTTGTGCCAGAATCGTCTTTTGCTTCATGGCGACGCGACGCATCGCGAACACGTGCGCCTTGCCCTGCCGTTACGAGATATCGATACAACTACCGATATTTACTTCGACAAAGTCGATAACATTTTAAAGCCGTTTTTCTTCTAACTGTCGATTATTTATCGACATATCGATAATCACGATCGCTATAGATTTTATTTCCTCTATACTCTTCTTAAACTATCAAATATTTAACATCGACAATTTGATCCACGTAACAAAAAGAGAAAACGTTTTAAACTATCGACCAGACCATTCATCGACAACACCCATAATCCACGTGTCAAACAGAAAAAAGTTTTCTCAATTATCGATAACTATAATTACTATAGATTTTATTCACTTTATTCCCTTTTTGAACTATCAAATCTCTAACATCGATAGTTTATTTCACGTAACAAAAAGAAAAGACGTTTTAAACTATCGACTAGACCATTCATCGACAATACTCATAATTGTGATTAGTAGATATTTTCTTTCCTTTGAATTTGTTTCATTTGTGAAACAAAAAAAATCGCCTTCGAAAACTATGGATTACTTATCAACAGCTTAGACAATTGCGTTTACTATCGATTTTTTTTCCATTGGTTTTTTAAAAAAATATCGATAATTTACCGACAGCACAGATAATTGCGATCACTATCGCTATTTTCCGTTTGTCTTTGTTTTACAAGTCAAGGGGAAAAAAATTGTGAACTATCGATTATTTATCGACACCACCGATAATCGCGATTACCTTCCATGCTTTTGCGTTAGCCTTTTTACCGACAGTTCGATTTTGTTGCCATTGTCTTTGTTCTAAATGACGAACAGAACAAAGAAGTTTTTCTTTAATTATTGATCATTCACCCACAGCACCGATAATTCCGATTACTATCGACGGTTTTTCGTTTGCCTTTGCGTCAAACAAAAAAAAAACGTTTCATAAAAAATTACCGATTATTTATCGACAGCATCGACAATTGTGATTACTGTCAATTTTGTTACATCTTTTGATTGAAAAAAAAAAGTCGTCATAATGGCGATAGACTTCTGAACCTTTCATCTTTATCCCATGTGACAAACAGAAGAAAATCATCAGTTACCATTAATTATTCCTAGATACCACTCACATTACTAACCAACAACAAAAAATTATCGAGTGTTTATAGGCAGCATCATTAAATGCGATCACTATCGACTATATTCCCTTTGTCTTCGTTCCACGCGACAAATAGAAACATAATCGATTTCTTAACCTGTGTTTTTGTTCCATGTGAAAAAAAGAAAAAAAAAACGTTTTAAACTATCGACAACTCATTAATTATTATTGCGATTACTAAAGATTTGTAAGAGTATACAAACATTAAGTAATCTCCACAGCTTTGTTCCGCGCGACAGACAAAAAATTGTTTTAATTATCGATTATTCACTAACAGCATCCACATGATTTTTTCTTTTTCTTTGTTGAACGTGTCAATTTTTTTCGAACTATCGATGGGTCAATTTATTAACAGCATCGATAATTGCAATTATTATTAATTTTTTTCATGTGAGAAACGCAATTAATCCATTTTTTTACAACTGTCGACTATCGACAGCATCGATAAATGCGATTATTCTCATTTTTTAGCTTTGACTTTCACGCGACAAAAGAAAAAAAAACAAATTTGTTTCGTTTCACGTGTTAAACAGAAAATAATGTTTTTTGGAAAACTATCGACATTTTATCCACAATCCAAATCCACAATATTTTACCTGTAGGTGCATCTCGTAACGTCTGAATGTGGGGATTTTGATGTTGCACCGGGGACACACGAGCCGGATATACGTCGACTTTTGAGGCTGTTGGTCGTCGTCGTCGTCGTCCACCTCCATCTTCGACGACTTCTCCGTTTCGCCCGCGTCCTTCTCGCGGTCGTCGCGTTCCTCGGTCTCTTTCTTGCCATCCCCGTCCTCGTCGCCAGCGTCATCGCCGCTCTTGGTTTTCTCCACGTCTTCGTCGTCGTCATCGTCATCGTCGCTAGAGCCTCCGTCCCTGTCGTCGATGTGACGGTGCCTCAAGATGCCGCTAAACACGTAAACGCCGACGTTGGCGTAAAAAACCGTAGTTCAAATGTACCGCGCCGGTTTTAACAAATCGGTCGTTTTTTAAATGCAGTAGTACTCGTTTTATTAGCGGCAATGTATTCAATTTTTTTTTGTTGGGCCAAAAATTTCCACAACATTTGTGAAGTGGTGCACAGAATATGCAGAATTTTGAAATTTCCATGATGTCCAAGAATATTTTTTAAACCAGCAAAGAACGGATGTTTTTTTTACAATTTTCAGGAATTTTATACCGACACAATAATTTTCCGGCGCGGTAGTTCAAATGTACGCGATTCTGCCGCCCCGTCCACCTACCGTGATACCATTTGCCGCTCTTCCTCTTCATTTGGATCGAGCCGCTAGAGCTTCGCGCCAAACCTTTTTTTCCCCGCAATCCTTCCTCTTTTTCCACTATTATTTTTAAAAAATTTGATACATGTTCACTACTACGTTATATATCTACTCGTTCCCACAGGCCGGATCAGCGCATCTATTCCTCAACCTTTGCATATATACATATTTTTTACAGGAAAGTCTCGATTATCACTATTATTAAGCTAGGGCAGGTCTTTGCTTCAACGTCTCGTAAATTTGTAACAGCAAAGTGGGGGAGATCTTTGAGTCACCTTCATTTTTTTTTACAGCAAAGTTCAATTATCACTATTATAGGAGAGATAGGAGAGATCTTTGAATCAATTTGGGGCAATTTATTTTACAGTAACATGGGGTTTTGGCTCAACTTCTTGTAATTATTTTATAGCATCGTCTGTATTATCATTAGTATGAAGGGGGAAGGGACCTTTGAGTCACCTTTTTATAATTTTTTGACAGTAAAGTCTCGATTATCATTATTATTAAACTAGAGGAGATCTCTGCCTCAACTTCCCGTAATTTTTTAACAGCAAAGTCTCTATTAGCTTTAGTATTAGACTAGGAGAGATCTTTGAATCATATTTTTTTACAGTAAAGTCCCAATTATCACTATTATTAAGTTAGAAGAGGATTTTGTCTCATCTTCTCTCGTTTTTTTTTTGCAGCGCCATCAGTATTAAGATGGAAGAGACCTTTAAATCACCTTGTGGCAATTTACTTATTTAGTAAAGTCTCAATTGTCATTATTTTTAAGGTACAGGAGGCTGTCGGTCAACTGCTTGTAATTTTTTTTTACAGCAAAATCTCTATTATCGTTAGCATTATGATGGGAGAGATCTTTGAATTACCTTGGGGTAATTTATTTACATTAAAGTCTTAATTGTCATTATTATTAAGCTTTGCTCAACTTCACGTAATTTATTTACAGGCAAGATCCCCTTTGTTATTAGTGTTAAGCTGGAAGATACCTTTCGAGTCACCTTGTTATATTTTTTTTACAGTAAAGTCTCGATTATCAGCTAGGGGAGGTTTTCTCTCACCTTTTCGCTCTATTATCGCTATAATATAAAGGTAGGGGGGAGGTCTTTGCCTCGGGCCCTGGTGATTTTTATTACACTCGGAGCCTCCGTCGCAAAATAAAATAAAAAACGGAAAATGTTTGTAATTACCTCCTGATACGGGACACCTTGATGCCACGGTAGCCTCTCGGGCGCTTCCTCACCGCGTACGAGGTCTCGGCGAGACGCCTGCGGATGCCTCCGACGCCGCGCTCCCGCATACCCATCCCCCTCGAGCCGCGCCTCGTGCTTATGCGGCCCCGAAACGAGCCCCTGATCGGGCCGCTCGGTTTCCTAAAGTCGTCCCTACGCGACTGGTACGGGGTAGACGTGGGCCTGTCCCCCGAATACGATCTCCGTTCCGTGTACGACGTGGGGCCGTGTGAATCAGAGTACCGGCCCCCCGAAGACGAGTACGAGAACGAGTCGTGCGAACGTGATCCGCCGGCCTGGACAACACACTTTATTTTATAAGCGGGAGGCGGCAGGGGGCGGCCGTCCGCTTTCGACGCCCCCCCTCCGAGGGCAGAAAAAAACACTTCGACTTGCTCAGCGTCTCGTTTGCCCCTTTAGTCACATTTCGATAGCACAATCGACGGCTTTAATAATTTTGCGTCGCTTAATTTTATCGCCAACAACTTTTACATCGCACTCGAGACTTTATAAATTTGCTGGAAAGCAGCGACCTCCGGTCTAGTCTCTTAATACAACATTTCTCGTATATTTTGACATAGTTCCACCCAAACTATCGAATTTTACCAACGTCGGCATTAAAACATTGAAAATTTTTGCAGTCCCACAAGCGTCGTCCATTTTTTATCAAGTTCCTAGCCCGTCCTCGATCGCCGATCCCTCTCCTCCGCCTGCGAAGGATAGAAACCGAACACGCCCATCCCGAAGGACTTACCTCGTTCCTCGGCCTCTTCCTCTCCGGCGAGCGGTTGTAGTTGTCCCTCGACGAATACGAATCCTAATTGAAATGAAACACTTTTTTTCCCCGCACGCTTTAAATCTACACACTGCTTACGTCATAATTGGAAGGCCTGTACGGCTTGTGGTAGTCCTCCCTCGGATAGCGGTCCGACGATCGTTCGAACGACGAAAACCTTCCGGAAGAGCTACTCCCGTAACTACCGGGCCCGCCCCGGCTGCCACCCCAGGGATTGCCCCTGTACGAGCTGCCTCTCGGTCTACCGCGCACCATTTCTACTGCACGGAAAAAAAATGGAGAACCACCCGACACGGCGTCTTCCAAAATGGAAGCCGTGCGAGACACGCCGTTATCCCCGAAACGTTTCGTTCGGCCGCGAGTCGAGGCGACTTAAAACCCACTTACCTGGATTATTCGTCACTAATTATGGACCGAACGCGAAAATTCCCAAACCACGCAACACAATACGACACTCGCGTCAATAAATGAAACGCCGATACGTGTCCGCGTACCGGCAAGCGTAGCAAACAACGCCGCGGCCTCGTAGCACGTAGGCGGGCGCGTAGCAGGCACGGACCACGAAACGCGCTCGCGGAAAATCGTAGCCGCGTTTTCGTTTAACCCGTTGACTGCTTTTATTACGAAGAACAGGAGAGTTTATAACAGGAAAAAATATGCAAAGAATGAGTGTGGCGCCATCCCTCGGCTATCCACGAAAGCGTGAGCGGCGCGTAGCGGACAGATGGCGCGGCGGCCCGCCGATCCGCACGAAGCAACAACCGCACCCTCTCGCTGTCAAACGCGTAAAGAAATGGTTTCTTTTGTAAAAATCGTAATGGTGTCGTGCCGTGGCTCGCCTCCGTGTTAAATAATCATGTCGATCGAGTCGCGGACGAATTCCGCCCTGTTCAAGCGGGCCGAGCAGCTCAAAAGATGGGAGGAATCCGACACGAACCGCGAGCCAACGTCGCCGAAACGGAATCCGCGCAAAGTGAAATTCTCGTCGGGCTGTGTATTTTTGGCGGCGTGCGCGGCCGGGGACAAGGACGAGGTGCTGAAGCTGCTCGAGAAGGGCGCCGACATCAACACGGCCAACGTCGACGGGCTGACCGCCCTTCATCAGGTAAGGGCGAGACGATGTTCCACCTGTGGCAGTGCCCCCGATTCGGTGACGTAAATTACGTCAATATGGCTACTACAGCTGTACGGTTCGCGTATTTTAATTCGTTCCGCGTTCATCTGAACTACCGATTCCGATAGGAATTACGTAAAAAAAGGGAAACCGCCGTGCTGGTTGCCGTATTTAGTCGGGCGGCTATTTTTACGGGATTTATTTTTGCCGTCGTCGGTAGTTCAAACGTGCCGTCGTTCCAGGCCTGCATCGACGATAACCTCGACATGGTCGAGTTCCTGGTGGAGCAGGGGGCGGACGTGAACCGGGGCGACAACGAGGGATGGACGCCGCTACACGCGACCGCCAGTTGCGCCTTCCTCTACATAGCGAAGTACCTGATTGAGAAGGGCGCGAACGTGGCGGCGGTGAACAACGACGGCGAGTTGCCGATCGACATCACCGAGTGCCCGAAAATGGTGGACTTTCTGAGGAAGGAGATCGAGAGACGGGGCATCGATTGCGAAGCCGCGCGAAATGACGAAGAGACCGTGATGCTTAGGGACGCGAAGGAATGGCTGGCGAGTAAAAGCGTCGCGTCCGCGAACAACCCGAACCCGAAGACGGGGGCGACCGCCCTCCACGTGGCCGCCGCCAAAGGCTACCTGGACGTTATCAGGTTGTTGCTCCAGTGCGGCGCGGACATCGACGCCCAGGACGTGGACGGATGGACCGCGATGCACGCGGCCGCCCATTGGGGTCAGGAGGAGGCGTGCCGCTTGCTGGTGGACAACCTCGCCGACATGGAGGCGAAAAATTTCGTCGGCCAGACGCCGTTCGATCTCGCGGACAGCGACATGCTCGGCGTGCTGGAGGAGTTAAGGAAGAAACAGAACAAGGAGGAGGTGAGCAAGCGGAAAGCGAGGAAGAGGCTCGAGACGCGGGACAGGACGATCGAGACGGACGCGGAGAGCCGCGTGAAGAAGGTGAAGGTGGAGATCGCGACCGAGGACGAGGAGATCGTCGTCAACGAGAATATCGGTGAGTGTGCCGGCGCCCCTTTGCCGTTATTGTATTCCGTTTCGATTTCTCTTTCTTGCGGCTACCCGGTTAAGCGATGGACGTGTCGAGCGAGAGCGATTCTTCCTCGGACACGGAGACCACCGAGACGGACAGCGGCTCCGAGGGGCGGGACGTCGGCGGCGGCGAGGGTAAAACGCACGTGTCTCCCCCACACCCACAAATTCGTACTAAAATGTGCCACGTTTTTCGTTTAGTGTGATAACACCGTCCCCGAGACTGTTGCGTTAGGCTATTAAAAGCACGTCTCCGGCTTTCCATTCGTTAGTAGTTCGTTCGCACCGAGTTTGTCCGCGCGAGATTTGCGTTCGGTAGTTCAAACGTGCCGCCGTTAAAAATCCTTTTCGGCACGATTTTCATTCGTTAGTTCAATTGTACCGACGTTTAAAACCCGTTTCCAGACGATTACATGCTGGAGCCAGCGTTGCAGAACCGTCTCGGCACGATTTCCAATAGGTAGTTCAAATGTGCCGGCGTTAAAAATCCGTTTCTGGGCGATCGCGCGCTGAGGCCGGCTCCAGAGGCCGGTTTCGGCGCGACTTCCATTCGGTAGTTCAATTGTACCGACGTTGAGAATCCATTTTCCAGTGCCCAGCGTATCTTTTGCACCCTTGTATATAGCACGGTGAAGTATCGCATACACGTATATAATCAAAATGTCGAAATTTTTGGCGTAAAACATCTCAAAATGTCAAAATGGTAAGTGATACCTTTTTTTAAAGGTTTTTTCACGTTCTATTCGCGTATAAATTAGGAAAACATTTGATTCGTCAGATTTGCAATACAAAAAATTAATTAATACAAATAATAATAATTATCCTCATATTAATCATTTTGTCAGTGCGTCAAGTCCTTTTAAACTGTTTTTTAAATATGTTTTCTAAAATAATTTTTGTGAAATTATTTGAATTAAATGTAAGATATTGTGCGATGAAAATCCACATGTTTTCGGAGATTATCGCACAAATTATCCGCAATAAATAAATGTTTGGGCCTGTTTACTCGCTAATCATATTGTTGGTCTTATATTTATCGATTGTAATATAACTGGTGAACGTTACTTTGATTCAATGGCCGTCTCGGTGGCCAAAGCTAACACCCCTGGACTTTTCTCTTTGTGGATATCGAAGAGGTAAAAATTATATTACGAAACCAAATTCGGTAGAAGATCTGAAAGACAGAGACGAGTTTATCGAAATGCTTTACCATTGTCAAAATGCACAAGGTGCTAATTTCCAAAAAAAAAAGAAAAATGGAAGCTGTTTTTTTTTTTAATTTAAGTTACTGTTAAGTAATATAAATAATAATAGAAATAGAACGTCAAAAAACTTAAAAAAAGGGATATCGCTTGACCTCTTTTCTAATTAAAAAAAAAAAATACTTAAAATGGCGCAGTGCTTTTTGGGTCAGAAATGAGGAATTTTGTATTGTGTACATTTTCTATGTTTGTGACATGCTAATAAATGAAATGAATTGGAATATACGTGCACGCCAACTTTCACGGTGCCATACAGGGTGTTCGAAAAACTCATTTAACAAACAATTCTAAAATTTCCCTGTATTTAATTTATTTATACTGATATTGCAAAATAGAACAGATTGCCTTAAGCAGAATCACAAATCCTTAAAAATTGTTACTCTTGTTTGAAGTCGATAAGTGTTATCGTTTAGCCACAAATCGACTTTTATATTCTCGGCCCGAATACCCCGCACTTTTAACCAGGGACAGTCGACAAGGGTCTAACAAAAAATTCATTTCTCGAAAACCGTTTGTGCAACGGAAAAAATTCTTGAACGGAGGATTTTGCTCCGTAAACTTTTATCCTTGAAAAATTTTCAAGAATATACAGGGTGCGCCGCATATTCAAAAAAATGAAAAATGGGTCGCCCTAAAATACTGTTTCAGATGTTACATCTTTTACATGACGATATAGCCCGTGTAGACAGCTAAAATATTTGTATTTAAGGTTTTCACTTATTGTAAAGGGTGTTTTCGATATTCCGTTGCTATATAAGAAATTTAGCCGAGAAGTAAAAGTCTTTGCCCACATTTAAACAGTAGAACAAACATAATTTTTCAAAAACTGTTCACGAGACCAAAGAAATTCTTGGACCAGAAGATGCGGCTCCATAAATTTTATTCTTGACGATTTTTCAAAAATTTACAGGGTGCGCCTCAAAATCAGAAAAACTGAAAAATGGATCCCCCTTTTATTGAAAATTGGTTATGACTGAAGGGCTATGATTCAGATGTCACTTTTTTTTTACACTGCGATATAGCCCGCATAGACAGCTAAAACTTTTGTGTTTAAGGTTTTCACCTATTGTACAGGGTGTTCCCGTTATTCCGTGCTTAATAAAAAATGTGTTAAGTGCCCCAAATTTGCAGGTATCAACTTCAAATTTGGCAGAGAAGTAAAAGTCCGTGGTTTCAGGAAAAAAATATTTTTAAACCATTTACTGTTTTCAACAAATTTTTGGGCCAGGAAACGTGGAAAATCCAGGGCTATAACCTCTACTTCAAACAATGATTGAATCGTATTGTATCGTTTTTGTGTTTAAATTATTGGCGATAAATGAAAAACCGTTAAAGATTTTATTTGAACAGTATCGTGAACCGTGTCGTGAGGGAGTTACAGGTTTCGTCAATTATACGGGGCGATAATAAAAAATCGATTTGTGGCTAAACGATAACACTTATCGACTTAATGAAAGGGTCACAATTTTTGAGGGTTCCTCGTGACCATTGCCGTCCGCTACTTGATGCATCTTTCAAATGCGAAAATCCGATTGCAGAGAAGAAGAACCGCGCCAATTCCCAGCCGGCGAACGAGACCGCGGCGGCGGCAAAGGAGGCGGACGCTGCGAAACTGCCTCCGATTCCTCCGAAGCCGGCTGTTTTCGACGAGGAAAACCCACCGTTGTGGAGGAAACCGTTATCGAAGGTGACCCGGCCCGATTCTGCAGGTCCCGATAAAAGTAAACTACGAAAGTGACGCACGCGTTGTTGTCGTTTTGACGTTTCCATTTCCAGATTTCCGGAACGACCCGTCCGACTTGAACAACGAGAACGAGGTGACCCTGAGGCGCACCAAGAGTTTCCAGAACGACGAGCAGTAAGTGTATTTCGATTCTTCGAGTTCCTAACGCGGCTTTTTTAACACACGGCGCGAGTCGTTTTTTTTTTTTTAAGTACTCCGTCGTTCCGCTTAAATAAATTACCGCCGCACGGTGGGTCAGGACGACCCAAAAAGTTTGAAAAATTCCAAATTTTACTGTTCGTTCTTTCCGTATAGCTATAAGATAATGTAGTGGCCCTACTATGGATCTTTTGCGCACGCATCGTCCCCAACTATCCGAGTCGCTACATTGCCGTAATTTTTCTCGATAATTGATTAAGTAATAACGGTCAGCGCCCAGTGCCATTGTTGTTTTCATGTTTGGTGTCAATATCTCCGTACCATACTCACAAACTGGTATAATTTGTATTGTATAGGATCTTGGAGAAACAGTGATCCCTATATATTTCACATTCAACAAACTGAAAAATAGGCTTACACAAATATTTACATGCGAATTTACTAAACAGAATTCCCTACATTTTTTGGTAAACTTAAATAGCTACGAAGAATGTTTGGGTTATATATTTTAGTGTACAAGATTTACAGGAAATGTAGGAAAACAAATTAAGCTACTGTCTGGTGCTTGTTGAACATTTTTTCCACTTAAATATGTCTTGTGCGATATCTAACATCTCGGAAGTTATTTCAGTTAACGAGTTCATGAAAATTAACGCTTCCCGCCGATTTACAAGCAAAAAAAAAATTGGAAAAAATAGCTTGCATGCAAAAATAATTCTGCACAGCTTTTCCACGACTTAACCAGAAAATTTAATATGATTTCGGCGTATTTTGATCAAATGCCGCATCCAAACACGGACGATCTGTCAGCGGCCATGTTGTTTGTTAAAAGCCGCAAGGTCTTACGGATCCAACGTCATAATTTGCGATTAGAACTGTTGTTGGTTAAAAACAAAATTTTAATACTCGCGCAGGCGCACGTTGAATGTGGATGTTCTCAAAAAAAGGTTACCGGAACAAGTTCACATGTTTGCTATTTGTGTCACGCTTTTCCCACAATTATGAATTTCGTCCGATCCAAACATTTAGATTTAGTCCCGAAGCTTTAAATTTGCTGGAGCCTTTCTATGAAAATATTAAAAGCTTGAGAGAATCAGAAAAAAATAGGCACTCTGCTAAGGCATTGATTTAAAATTAAAACTTGTTATATTATTATTATTATTATTATTATGATTAAATGAAAGTTGTTTACTTTAATTTCCAATAAAAGCTACAGATTTGCCATTATCCCAGAATTAAGAATACAAGGTGATATTTTGTTACATAATTTACTCATCCAAAGGCAGATGATACTCTATAATTTCTGGCGCAAATGTTTGTCGTACAATGAATTTTAGATACCGCATCTTATTTTTTGTAAATAACTGGCTCATAAACACAAGAAGTATTAAGGTATATCACCTTTTCACGAACTTGACAAAAAATCCTCAATCACAGGTACTTATAATTTTAGAAACTTTTTGGGCCATGCCGTGTCTACCGTGCGCCATATATATTTTTTTCGATTCGGTTGCCGTTTAATATACTGACGCTTATTATTGTTGTGTTTAGGTTCTACTCGAGATATAAGGCTCTGCATGCGCGCATTCAGGCAAATAACGATACTCCTGTCATTTCTTATAACTCCAACAGACCTAAGTCTGACATAATCCTAACCAATTCGCAACAGCATTACAGGTACGCATCGCACACACGATACACGCAAAAAGAAAACACACACCGTTGACGTCATTCGACGCGTTGCCCGCGAGAACGGTAGTTCGTCCGTACCGGCGACCTCCCATGCCCGGTAGGTCGTTTGTACCCGTTTGTACCAGTTACCCGCCGCGGGCACCGCGGTCGAAATACACGCATCATGGCTTCCGTATTGCATGGTTGAAGAAGCGTTTCCGTCGCGGGCGTTTTGACTCGGATTTTTCCGTTTTTGTTTCCTTAGGAACGCGACGGACGAGAAGAACGACGTCAGCGGCAGCGCGACGGACACGAGCGCCAAGGGCGCACCGGCGCCTCCGCCAAATAACCAGTCGGCTTTCAAAAGGTGAGACCAGGCCGTTTTCTTGTTTTTTTTTTTCATCTTTTGATCGCGTCCGTTACGAAATTGAACGCGTCTTTTTGGGTCCAGTGACCTTAAGTTGACACTGAAGGAAACGCCGACCGAGACGAACGGCGCGAGGGCGGGCGGGGCGACCACGCCCACCACCCCGACCGGTACCAGGTTGCAGATGTTCAAGAATTTCTTCAAGTACGCCGGATTGTGTGTCCGATAACCCGATACTGTTTTGTTACTAAAATTTCCGGATTTAGCTTTTTTGTTTATGCCCCGGCCCCTGTTTCTCACTAACATCGGTTTCCGTGGTTTTATCGTTTCTAACCTGTGCCCGTTTCGCGCCGACCGATTCCGCTCTCTGCTCACGCCGCGTTTTCGTCGTCGTAGGTCGTTCGTACCGCCGGTACGTGACGAGGAAAGCGAGACGCAGCGGAAAGCGCACGCGAAACGTGTGCGCGAAACCAGAAGGTCGACCCAGGGCGTCACGTTGGAGGAAATCAAGTCCGCCGAACAGCTGGTGAAAATGAAGAGCCAACCGAACAACAACAACAACAACGACGAGACGGTCAGTATGCGCGGGACGTTCGAACTACTCGCGCGTGTTTGCCTCTTATTCAATTTTGACCGTTGCCACCGAGCGGTTCATTTGAACTAGCTCGGGTTTTCGCGTTCGAACTACCGGTACATTTGCGCTACCAAGAATGAACTTGCGACGTTGCCGACAGCAGGGGACCAACGGAGATCAGACCAACAGCGTGACGGCGACGATAACGACGGCGGCGCCGACCGTAATTACGCGCGCCGTCACCGACGGCATCGAGGGCGCCAGGGACGGCTCGTCGCCTGGGGGCGACGCGCAACTCATGGCGGCGTCCCAGCACGAGCGTCGACCGTCGTGGCGCCTCAAGGTCGACGGCGGTAGCAAGGTAAGGCGAGAAAGTGGGGTTAGTGGCCGTAACCGTTGGTTGGTCGAAATTAGGGAGGTGACCAAAGAGACAACGAACCTTTGATATCTGTGGCCGTTTAGGGTATGGACCGATCAGTTCTTCTTCTTAATACGTTTTATAAAGAATTATTTCCTCAATAGATGCGGGAATATTGGCATTAATCAAAGGGTCAAACAAAATTCGAGAATTCACTTTGTGAAGGGAAACAGTTAAAGTAAATATGTTGGAGGTCACCAACGTGCCCTTGACTATGTAGATGACAAGATGAAGCACAATGACCACTTCAAGCGATCTTAAACCTATTGAGCCTGTTTGGTTAGGAGGAATAACTAGTTCTTCTTTCACAAGAAGCTTGGCACGTTTGCTACGATCATTTTTCACTCCAGGTTTTCTTGCTTCTGCTCCAAACAAAAGGAGACTGCATTTTTTTTTTCATTGTTCCGTGAGAATTTTGAAGGAATTATTAAACAGTTCAATCAATCAAGGGCAAAACAAAACAGAATTGATGCTAACAGTGGCGGGAATATTGACATTAATCAAAGAATCATACAAAATTCGAGAGTTCACTTGTTGTGTTCACTGTGAAAGAAATAAGTCGGAAATCACCAACTTCCCCTTCGCCATGTAGATGACCAGATGAAACACAATGACCATTTCAAAATTTTTACATAGTTAACATTTCCTTGCTCAATATCCTTCATTCCAGGAAGTAGAAGGAATTATTAAGCAGATACGAATAAAATCATCAAATGCAACTAATTCTTCGTGTCTTTCTCGACGATTTTCACTTTCGCAACCAGGATTGCACTGTACATTCTTCGCCCTTTACTTGGCTCCATTTCGATATCCACACTTCCCATAGTTCCTTTTCAGCTTCAGTTTGCATAGATGCGCTACATCTATGACTACTTGAATAAGTAAGGTTAGGTTGGCGTTTCCGTCGTTCGTATCGCGACAGGCGGCAACGGAGTGTGAGGTTAGGTTGATGGTCACCCGTTGTCACTTTGGATGGTTGCAGCTTGGTAGTTCTTTTAACCCAATTGTGGTCGTAGTGTTTGTGCATGTCTTTTGGTTTTTCGCTTGGTTTCCGGGTGGTCGATTTGAATTAGAATCGAAATTAACAAAAATTTGGAAACTTTTTGACGCTTGCGAGGCGATTCGAACGCAGACGGGCCACACTCCGTATATACGGTGTGTCGCGCAGTTGACGGAACGTTTCGGGAAATCGGGAGGTGACGATTTGCCGTAAGGTCGGCAGTCGGTCGCGGCGTTGCCGGTTATGTCGAAAGGTAGGATCGATTTTGATTTTTCGAGCGGGACGTCCCGTATACTGTCAATGACTTTCCCAATTTTGCTTAAGAAGACTTTTTGTGTGCACATGCCAAACAAGGCAAACATCATATACGGGGTGTTTTCTAATAGAATGTCAATAAGTAGGGGGCGATTTTTGGGTCTATTTTAAAAAGAAAATTTCATATGAACATAAGTCTTAAACGTTTTGAGATACGGGGTGAAAAAGTTTTCAAAAATAATATATATTTTTTTAATATCTGTAATAATTTTGGCAGACATTGATGGGACGCCACTGATTTCTATTAAAATAAAAATTATTCTTACGATCTCCAATTATTTCTAAAGAAATTTAATTTCTTGATTTTTTTCAATCCGATAGACGGTTTTTGTTTAAAAAATTTTTAAAAAAATGGCCATAGTTAATGTGACAGTCTGAATAACTTTTTTTTTTCTGTTGATATTAATTGCACTTTTTAGAGCAATACTTAATTTTGTGGTTATTATATATTTAACAATCGATTATATATTTAATAACAATAACATCTTTTAAAAATGGGATTATTGTTAAATGATACGTATCTCTTCAAGGCGTGAGAATTTTATTTGACGTGTCAGAAGTTACCGACTCATTTAAAGGTTACGTTTGCCTGTTTTTGTTGTTTTGTAATAGTGTTTATTCACAATAGTCACAATATCGAAAGAAGGTGCCGGGTCTGAACTTGAACTTGCGTTAGAAAACGGACAAACGGTTTAAACAGTTTTCGAGGATATCAAAAAGAAGTTTCGATAAAACGCTGCAAAAATGATGAAAAGGAGATGACGGAAATGAAATTCGAAGTCGATCCTACTTTTCGATATAAGCGGCAACGTCGCATCTACATTAAACGTCCGATTGTTAAACGTAATATTTTATTTGTTTTTTTTTTTAACCTCGTAAATTTTTATTTTGCTTATTTTCAGATTTTCTGCACGTTATTCTTCCTCGGTTTTAGCTTGTATTTGGTCTGCCATCCCGTTCAGAATCTGGTGTTTTTTTTGCTCGCGTTTCTCTGCCGGACGACAAAAGACGTTCCGCTCTGAACGGGATCACATATTGCAACGTCGCCGCTAATCGCTTGTAAATACTACCCTCAACCCCGCCTCCGTACGTTTTGTGTGTGTATATATATATATTATTCTCGCCGCTTGTAGCGTAGTCGTTTGTTTGTTTTTTTTTTTTAATTTTTACATGGTCCGCTTAATTAATTTTTTCCTATTTGATCATTAACCGCAAATAAAAAACCCTTGTTGCAACTGCGCGAGTTTTATTTCGCGTTCGGATTACCCGCCGCCGTCCGAGGCGCCGCCCCCGCTGACGTCACGTCATTTTTGTTATTCAGTTCAAGCTGGAGGATGCGACCAAACCGGAAACGCCGAACACGCCATCTTTCGTGAGGCGGTCAGCCGCCGCCGCCGCCACCGGGCAACGTCCCTCGTCCGCCCCCGTCGAGACGGCAGAGACCACTACCGTGACGTTGTCGTTGCGCAGGCCCAAGTCGGTCGAGGAAAAAGGTCGGTAGTCTAACAACTTCCTCCCCCGCACCACCAGCATCCATTGTCCGCCATTTCGCAGATCAAGACAAGGAGAACGACGCGAGGAACGCGCAATCGACGCTAGCGACGCAGGCGGCGATACAACGCAGGCGCAGGCCGAAACGCAGGTCGACCGGCGTAGTTTCCTTCGAGAACATTGACGTAAGTGGGGGTGACAAGGGGGCGTGGTCGCTCTCTTACGCTCGTTTAATTTTTCAGGACCTCGACCAGGACAAGGACCCGTCGGCGGGCGGCGATTCGAGCGACGCCGCTGCCGCCGCCGGCCAACAAAACAGTATCGAGGTAAGTCTCCTTTCGCTTCTTCTTTTTTTTCCCAACCCGAAATTAAGAAGAACGTTGGGAACGAGGTTTTCGTAGAACGGAATCCATAGTCAATACTTCCCCGGCCATTGGAATGGGCCATCATTTACCATTTGTTTTCTTCTTCTTTTTTCTCTTGGGCAGGGACCCGATATTCCGAATGAAAGAAGAAGAATGCTGGAAACGAGGTTGTTTTCATGAGGGTTGTTGCGGAGAACGCGTTCCTATTCTTCCTTTTTTTCTCTTGCTCAAAGACTAGGCATTTTGAATAGAAAAAGAAGAACGCGAGGTACGAGGTTTTCATGGGACGGAATTGATACTTGAGGCTTCCTCAACCAGAGCTCATTAATAATTTGACGTGCCTATTCTAAACTGCTCCTCAATCATCCTCAAAGACGGCTATGACAACTTTGGTTTTGCGAAGAGTGCGTTCTTCTTCATTTTTTCTCTCGCGCAGAGACCCGACATTCCGAATGGAAGAATAAGAATGCTGGAAACGAGGTTGTTTTCATGAGGGTCTTGCGGAGAAAGCGTTTCTCTTGTTCCTCTCGCGCACTGACCAGGCAATTTGAAAGGAACAAGAAGAACGCTAGAAACGAGATTTTCAAGAGGAACACAATCATTCACATACAATTCAATCATATTTTCCGGAGAGTTCGTTCTTCTTTTTTACCTCGCGCATGGACCCGACAGTCCGAAAAGAAGAACGTTCCTCTTCTTCTCACAGAGCGGAATTGATACTTAAGATTTCCTCGTCCCGTCTAAAGTTCTCCTCAAGCATCCTCAAGAACAGGGAATCGTCGATGACTGTTTTTGTTTTGCGGAGAGTTCGTTCTTCTTCTTTTTTTCTTTTGCGAACGGGCTCGATAATCCGAAAGGTAGAAGAAGAATGCGGGAACATTTTCGTAGGGTTGAACTCATAGTCGATACTGGAGGCATCCTGCGTCATGCCCATTCTAAAGTTTTTAATTAATCCTCCAAGACTGAAAAACGAGTGAGATTGCGGTCCGTAGGGTCTTCTTCTTTTTTCTCTCGTGGAGGGACAGTCCGAAAGGAAGAAGAAGAATGTGGGAAATGAGGTTTTCATAAGGGCCGTTCTTTTTTCTCTCGTGCAGGAAGAAAAAGAACGGGGGGAACAAGGTGTTCATAGGGTGGAATGCCCAATGTAAAGTTTTTTAAGACTGAGACGCGACTATAATGTCTTACGAAAAAGCGTTCTTCTTTTGCTTCTTCTTCAAAACACCATCTTTATTTTCGTTGTATAATTAGCGCGTTCGTTCGCTAATAATAAACGATGACCAAGACCGTTCGTCGTTAAAACAATTGGCGTAACGCGATGGACGAATGCCAGAAGGGTTCGCGCGTGTTTCGGTCGAATTATCTCTTGTGGTACGTTTGAACTACCCGGCACACTTCTTTCGACAGCGCCACGTTGCCGGCGACGCCATTTACGCGCGGGTGACTTTTCTTTATTCCGAATCTGGCGCGGATTATTCTGGAAAACGACACACAAAATTAAGCATGCGACGGTGAGTGGTGTTCCGGCGGATCTGGCGATGTTCCAGCGGCGCGCGTCATCGCCCGTTGCATCTCGTCGTGGTTTTCTCTTTTTTTTTTTTTTTGGCGCGTGTTTAAAATATGGCGCACGTGGGTCGGTCGCGTGCGCTACGGGGCTCCCCGTTTCTGACCACATTTTCGGTGGAACGAAAACGAAACACCTTTCAATAAAAAGCGGGATACCATCGCTAACAGGTCGTCAGTAGCGTCTGTAGATTATAATACTTTTTTTATGTAATAAGAGCGGAATACCTTCAATTAAAAACGGAATACCATCGGTCCCGAAAAGCTTTAGTTAAGTGATTATAAGGTATCGATCCACGATAAAAATCGGCACTTCCTTGAAATTGAAAGCGCAATGTATTTTAATAAAAGTTTCGTTTATTAATATATCCGGTGTGATATGAGAGGAATACCTTCGAATAAGAACGAGACATCTTCGTTTTCGGTTGCACGCGTTTCTATACTGCGATAAAAGCCGGAAATTTAAAACTCAATATATTTCAATAAAAAATGGGATACCATAGGACCATAGGTCATAAATGAACCGGTTCAACAATAAAAATTTCTTTAAATACTTTCAAATAAAAAGGGATAGCGTCGCTTTCGCTCGCATTGCGATAAAAGCAGCGGTTTCGGGTATTATGGTTTTCGGTGCAGTAAACAGAGAGATCCTATAACCACAAAAGAAAGGGCTTGCGCCAAAATAAAAACGAAATATTTCAATCAAAAGGGGATACCATCGATAGTAGCTAAAAAGTATCTATCATAATGTTTAGGGTGCAAAAAAAAGCGGAATACCTTCGAATAAAAACGCCGCTTTCTATTGCAAGGGGTTGTATATTGCGATAAAAGCAAGTCCTCCGTGCATTTACACAGGGAAATAAAATACAATAGCTTCCAATAAAAAAAGTGTTCGACAATAGTTTCGGGGTTTCGTTTTTTGATGCAATTAAGAGGGATCGTGCCGCGATAATAGTTGGCTTAGGTCGTGAATAAAAACGGAATACGTTTCGATAAATAGAAGGATACCGTCGGTTAAACGCGCTAAATAATGCTAACTGATAAGGAAAGTAACGATCCTACATCCTCGAGGCACAATAAAGGCGGAATACCCAGGAATAAAAACGGGAATACCGTGGCGTTGGGTCGCGAAGGTTGCGTTCATTATGGGGCCTCGGACGTTTTCGCGGCAGTAGCGATAAAAAAGGGAATACCGGTGCGATAAAAGCGGGAATACCTTTGTGGCAATAACATGTAAGTGTGGTGGTTCCCGATTTCGTCGAGCGCGGATTCTGGTCCGGCCGTCTCGACGGCCGCGTCTCGTTTCGCGTGGGATCGAAACTCGGGTTTTAAATAGCTGTTCGGTTAGTTTATTGTCGGGTCGCGTTCGAGGAAGTTCCGTCGTTAAAATCGACCGCGTTTTACGTTGTTCGGATAAAATTAGCGTCTCGAAGAGGGCCGGAGAGAGAACGTGTGACGTGTTTCCGTTACGATAGGAGGGTGTGTTCGATTTTTTGGGTTCGTTCGTTTTTCTTCTTCTCAAAATGGGTCCATTTAATCGGCACTGATCGACCACTCACCTTTTTTTATATATTTTTTTTTTCTGATAGTTGGGCTGGAAATTTTTTTATTGTAATATTTTAATATGCCGTGGTAGTGGATAACATCGTATTTTAAGATTACTAAGACCAATTTTAGATTATTTTGAGTTACTGTATAATATAATAATATAAAATAATTACCCCGCACGTCTGAATCTTAGAAAAGAGTGGTGCATTTGAACTACCCGCGAGCGAAACGTCCATCGTTATTTCACGTAAACGGGCACCTGACGTACGTCTCTGACGTTTAATTGCCGCGTTATTGCGCGGGGCGGACGAACGGTCTCAAAATAGCGGCCCGACTTTGAAAAATTATCATAATAAGTGTTCGGCCGTGCATCTTTCTATTCTCGCGCAAACGCGCGTCTATTTTCAAGCGTTCTCAGCCACCAGGTAGACGATAACCGGGCGTTTTTTTATTTTTCTCCTCGCCCACGCGCCGGAACCAGAAACGCCGCTCCGCGATCACGTCACATGCCAGTAAACACGCGATACATGTATATTTTTGTTATTTTCACAATCTAGTCTCCAACGGATAAGTCAAGTACGAAAGAACATCACTTGTTCTCGTAAGATTGCCGTATTTAAACCGAAAGTTAACGCCAACACGTCACACAGACCTCGACCTTCTCCTTGAGGTGCGGCGCGCCGGCGCCCTAAAGGCTTTCGCGTCTTAAAAACGAATATGGCGTCGTCGTATCACACGTCGCGCGGCAAGCAGCCCGCGCCGCCCCCGAGGCACCGCTCGTCGTCGGCCACGCGCACCGCCGCGTCACCGCGCTACGGCAACCGCCCCCGGAGCGCGGGCTACTTCGGCAGCAACGGCAACCTGCCCTACGGCTCCGGGTTGTCGTCATTCTCCGCGTACAACTCGCCCTACGCATCGAGGTATCCGACTTTTCCCCTCCCATCACGCGGCGGTACACGCCATCTATCTAAATATCACTTGCCCCCGTATATTTATATCATAAACATACGAAGCGCTAGTAGCTCTTCGTCCGATAACAGAACGCGAAAACCGCATCTTTCTAGCTTGAAAGATAAGCGAGATACCAAGCGGGAATACCATGTACGTTTGAACTACTCGCGTGTTCCGCTCGCGTAACGGGGAAAAAGAGCGGGAATAGCGGAAAGCCTCGATGTGTTTCAGCTACCAGAGCCCCTATTTCGCGAACGGGTACCGGGGGGCGGGGGCGGGCGGCTACGCGAGCCTCACCATCCCCGCCAAGTCGTTCGCCACCAATTATTCAAAGTCGTACGACAACGCCAGGGAGTACGCAAAGGTGAGAAAGCCGCCGTAACCTCAATCGAGCCCGCCCAGTTTAAAATATACGATTGGGAGGTTTGAGGTTATGCGCGTTTTCTCACTTCGTAGGGATTGGCTCGGGGCAACAGTTACCGCGAGAAGTCGCTGTCGCGTTCGAGGAATTCGCTGCCCGGCATGGGCTCGAGGTCGCTGAGCCTCACCTCGCTAGGGTCCGAGGGCTACGTCGTAAGGCCCGGCGCTCCGCCTCCACTCACACGTGATTTACGTGCCGGTTTTTTTGTGCGTTGCAGAGCGGATCGGACAGGGGCGGCGGCAGATCGCGGCTCAGCAGCACCGTCGACATTAGAAACGAGAACGGTGAGATCGACTACAAGAAGCTGTACGAGGAGCAGCTCGCCGAAAATGACAGGCTCAAGGACAAGCTTAGGAAAACTGACGAGGAGCTAAGGGACACGAAGCAAACGCTGGAGAAAATTAACGTCGTCGTAGGTGTCATTTATTGTATTGCAATCGCAGTAGTTCATTTGCACTATTACCGCGTTTCGCGTTGTTACAGACGAGCAAGAACTCGCTGTCGGAGCTGGAGAAACGGGAGAGGCGGGCGATGGAGAGGAAACTGAGCGAGATGGAGGAGGAGCTGAAGGTAGGGCGGCACGTTTGGGGAGGGCGTGGCGATCGCTTGTTTTTTGCAGCTTTGGCCGTCGCCCACGCGTTTTGATTTTTTTTATGACCTTCTTTTCCGCTGTCTACGCGTGGTGTCCCCTGCCCCCTCGTATATATTAACGTGGCTCTCGTATATTTTTCTAGCAATTGCAAAAATTGAAAGCCGAGAACGAACGCCTAAAGGCGGACAACAGGTCGTTGACTCGCGTCATCAACAAACTTACCAACTCTACGAAAAAATAGGTAACCGGTGCTACTCGCTTCATTCGAAGTACTACTCGGCCCACACGCTGTTGTGTCGCTCCGATGTTTTGTTTTTCCGCGCCGCTGCGCCGCCGCCGCCGCTGGCTCGTTCCTTTTTCTTTCCTCTCGCTGCGCTCGAATTAACGTAATTAATTGCGACCAATTTAATTAATAATTCAACCCGGCGATAGATGATCTTGCAGTATCAAGGTATCTGTAATTAGACCACCAAGGTATTTGAATTTTTTAAAAATGACGAAATTAGACGATTATTAATATAATTTTTAGATGAACAATTAAATAGATTTGAAGCAACTATTATTTAATTAATTACCATATTGAAATTGAAATATTATTAAATGCAAATTTGGAGCAGTTTTATAATTATAGGATTAAAGCCACTTCAATTTTAAATTAAATAATTTCTTAAATTCGAAGTATTTAGTAAATATCTATTTTTTTCAACAGTTTAATTTAAACCATTAATTATCGTATTAAAGTAAAGTTAACTAGAAATAGGAGCATTTTTGGCAGTGCAATATTAAAATATTTACTACAATTTCATATGGCTTAATCTGGCACTTATTATAAATAATTACATAAATATATTACATAGTTCAAAATTAAAGTATTAATCTAAAAATAATAGTTGAAATTAAAGGATTATTAACAATAGCATATTAATTAAATCTGATGAATTTAATAATTAATATATTAAAGTACTGGGCTACTCCAATTTTAATTTAATTAAATTTCTTCAGATAATTTTATTTTAACTTAACCAACCTTGGAGAATTTTTACAATAACTCGTTTAAAATATTTACTATTAATATTAATACAAAATTACATTAATTATGTTTAAAACTTAAAGTATTAAAGTATTTAGTTACTTCAATTCAATTAAATTATCTTAGCTACTTTTATTTTCAGTTAACTAAATCTAGTATTTTTGTAATTACTTAGTAGTAACATGGATTAATTCGTCAATTAAATTTAATTATATTAATTATATAATTATTATTTATATTTGAAGCATATATTAATTAATGTATTGCAGTGTTTGGGTACAATTTTAATTTAATTATTTAACTATTTTTTGTTAACCAAATTTTCATCATTTTTATCTTTGCTTGATATTAATTTATTAAATTCAATTAAATGCATTAAATGTAATAAAAATTTAGATTATTCAAATTCGAAGAATATTTTAATGACAGTATTAAAAAGTGTTTGGATATTTTAATTTAATTAAGTTGCTTCAACCTCTTGTATTTAAAGTCAACTAAATTTGAAGCATTTTTACAATGATAAATTTAAATTAAATAATTAAATTTAATGCAAATTTACATTAAGTAAATTATAAATTAAATAATTTAATTAAACTCGATTATTCAACGGGTTAATTACTTACCACGGCGGAGGCGGAGCTTCGGTCGGTCGGCAAAAAAAGACCCGGCCATAGGCGCGCGCAAGGGTTTTTCGTTTCGCCGCTTCGATTTCCGTTTTTCTTTCTTTATTCTCGTTTTTGGGACGTTGGCTTGTTTGTGTCGATGGCGTTTTTGCTTTTTTTTTGTTTTTTTGCGTGTTTGAGTGTAGCGCGCGCATGCCCGCCGTCGTTATTTTGTTTTTTCTCCTCCCTCCCTCTTCCGTTTCAGAACCTGGAGAACCTGCGGTCGGAGAACCAGCGGCTCAAAGACGAGAACGGTGCGCTCATCAGGGTCATCAGCAAGCTGTCCAAGTAGCGGGGCGGCGACGCCCCGCCCCCCATCTTTTTTTTTTGTTTTTTTATCGCCCGTCGTTTGTTTCTATCCTATCGCATTTTTTTTTTGTTTTATTTTTAAGGACCACGATCATTGTATTTATTTTCCCGTAGGTTTAGGTCATTTTTGTACATGAAGTATTACAGTTTTACTCTCGACCTTGTACGTATCGTATATATTTATTTCGTCTGTCGCAGGTAATTTTTTTTGACTTTGTTTTTATTAAATTTTCGTTCGTACCCCGCCGCAAGCAACGGAGGTTATTTTTTTTATAATGCGAGCAGACAATAAAAGTGGCGTCGGGTAGTTCAAACGCGCGGCACTAATGAAGAAAACCGGTGCTAAAAAAAATCTGTGCCGCCCCCGGCCCGCCGCCGAACGCGTAATTTTAAGCGTACCGTCTAAGTTCCTGCATTTAACGTTCAGTTTCCCGTCGTGCCGGACATCTTGTGCCTTGCTTGTCTTTTTCTCCGTTTCCGCGCGTTACGACATATCTCTGTGTATCGCCATGTTTTTTTTTGTGAACCATGTTAAATGTTTCCCTCCGCCCCGCGCGGGGCGGGTCCGCATTGTGAATAACGTTTTTATATAGCCGATTATTGAATAAAAACACATATGTGAAATGGACGACGGGGAGGTGTTTCATTGGCGGTAGTTCGAACGTACCGTCGCGCGAAATTCGAAAAATACGCAACGAAGAAGAAGAATAATAAAACTTTGGGGCAATGGTAGACAAAAACTAGTTTTGTCGTTGAGGCGAAAAAAAATTATACTGTCGTTAACGAGAGTAGAGAGGGAGGAAAGTAAGTAACCATCACATTGTTATAGTTATTGTCTGTAATTTTGTTATTTTTCAATATTCCCAGTGTATTAAAGCAAAAAAGCCATATGCAACAATAATTACAATAATTACTAAATAATCTACTAACCTTCACTTACGACAACAAACGCTCCATATTGAATAATACTAGGCCAAACTAACCAAAAGAACTATCTACACTTTTTTTCTAACCCGAAATTATCGACGCAAATCGCTCACACTGCCGGGGAAACATTACCGACTTGGCAATACCGCGAAAGGTCAAAATTGTCAAGTGGAACTCGACAGAAGCAGTAGAATATTTTGAAAAATAATTAAATTACTTTTTTTTCAACACAATAAAATAAACGCCGGTAGTTCAAACGTACCGCGCATGCGTAAGACGAATCCCAACCTCAAATCTGAGCGGCGAGCAAACGCAGAAAGCACCTGTCTCTGTATATCGCCATTTTTTTTTCGACTAAAGCTATTCGCAAAAATAGGTTAGAAAACAACCACTTTGCTTCGTACTAACATATTTTCCAACCTTAAGATATCAAGGCGTATCGGTCAAAAACAACAGGCTTGGCAACACCGCTGTAGGTCCAAATTGTCAATCGAGAAGGGACAGAAGCACTAATTTATTTTTAAACTTTTTTTTATATTTTTTTACAATGCGTTCTCAAGAGAACAAACTAAGTAATTAAAATACCTATTTCTCAACACTCTGGAATGCTTAATCATACAAACGCAAAAACACGGCACTGTATTTCGCCGGTAGTTCAAACGTACCGCACACGCGTAAGGCGAATTCCAGTCTCAAAACTCACGAGCCACCTGTCTGTATATCGCTATTTTTTGTCAACCATGCAGGTTCCATATTGAACACCACGCATGTATGCAGAAACAACCATTTTGCTTCGTACTAATATTGCCCAACTTCTAAGAATCAATGGGACTTGCTTAGATTCTTGGGGAAAAACTACCCGCTTGGCAACATCGCGCTGGGTCACAAACCCAGAGAACATTTGAAAAACTTGTTTTCTTTTACTTTTTTTTATTTATTTACGTTTTCAACACTCGGGGATCCTTAAAGAAAACGCAAAAACACGGCGCTATATTTCGCCGATAGTTCAAACGTACCGCGTACGCGTAAAGGCGAATCCCAACCTCAAAACTCCAATTACAACCTGTTATATTTAAAATTATTCGCTTAAAATGTAACAATAATTATATATATCACAATAAAAACTAAAGGTTAGGACGTACATTTACGAGGCCGAGCAGCAGGACCGAGACTGCTGGGCGGCGGCGGCTGCCTGCTCCTCGTCGTCGACGACGACCACTCTCCGTTGCGAGTTTTGCCGCGACAGTGGGTTGTTGTCAGACGCGTCCTTCTCCTCGCTAACCGTCAGCATGCGCCTCGACAAAGCGACGAACATGTCGTCGACGCCTTCGTTTAACTTCGCTGACGTCTCGAAATGGACCGCCCCCACCTTGCCCGCGTACCTGCAACACGAATCTCCGACTTATATCGAAGGGCCGGGGCGCAGCCCGTCCTCACTCTTCCGCGATCTCCCGTGACACCGTTCTGTCCTTCTCCAAGTCTATCTTGTTGCCTGCGATGACGAGGCACAACTCGCTGCCAAGCATTTTTCGCAGCTCCTTCACCCAACTCTTCACCTTTTGGAATGAATCCTCGTCGGTGATGTCGTAAACCAAGACGGCCCCGTTCGACGACCGATAGTAAATCGGGCCCAGCGCGTGGAACTTTTCCTGCCCCGCGGTGTCCCATATGGCTAGGTTTATCCGTTTGCCGTCGATGTTGATTTTCTTCGTCAAGAACGACGCCTAAAACAGCGCGAGTCGCCCCACTCGTCCGGATATAACTTGCCGAAAAGTTACCTGCACCGTGCTTATGTGATTGCTGTTGAACTTATCTTCGACGTAACGGAGCACGAGACTCGTCTTACCCACGCAACCTTCGCCCAAGAGCACGACCTTAAAATTTTGCGTGCCGTTCGACGTCGGATGCGCCATATTCTCGCGAGGGACTCAAATTAGTGCCGTGTTTATTTGGTAATCGCTGGACATTGTCGTTGACGTTTATCAGCTGTTTGACGGTGGGCGTTGCTACGCAACTTTCCACGAAATCGCGACAGCTGGCGCGTTTAACAATGGTCGAGTTCAATGTTTCAGAGTTATTAAACAATATATTTTTGTCAACTTCACAGCGAGTTAATAAAACATTGCCAACAAAACATCTAAATGTAGCATAAACCACAATCATCTCTAAAAGATTAACGAAAAAAATATTTTTCAAAAGGAATATAATATTCCACGTGACTTTGTACTTTATTATAATTACTGTATAGCTAAATTGAGTCAATCGTGTGTATTTTTTTAAAAAATGCCTTCCGCACCATTTTTTGAATGAAGCTTCAATAGCATTTTGGAAACTTATAGACGATCTGTCGGCGGCCATGTTGATTGTTGAATGTCGCAAAGTTTTATTGGTTAAAACCTGAACGTTTCCTCTTACTCTAAGCTAAATTCAAACGCTTTAATTAACGCTCGCCATTTTTTCAAAAGCAAAATAGGATCGCTTATTTTTTTTTAAATGCCCATTGACAGGCAATTCTATATAGTAAAATCACGCGTTCTTTAACGTACATTACCTTGAGTTGTCGATCCCCGCACAGTTAGCCATGGAAAGTAAAAGAACTGCAGTGCTTCGACAAAGCATATGCGTGACGTCAGTTATCGACGTCACTGCCTGCGCAACACTTACGAAATAAAACGCGAACGTAATTTAAAATGCTTTTTAATCGATACGGACGTACAGAAAATTAGAGGGAAAAATACATACGATCAATAAAAACGCTCTCGAAGTTACACTCATCTCCACAATAACCAATAAAATTGTCTATGGTCCTAATAACTTTTCAAGTTGCGCGGGGAAACTTGGTTTCGACATTTTTTTTCTCGGCTGACGACGAACATTTTTCCCTACTTCCTAAAATACGCGTTACATATAAAACGACAAAAATTTAGAATATCATCCCTGCGATTTCGACGAGGGTATTGGCTAGCTAATATTTTATTTTCCGTTTATTTAAGAAAGAAAAACAAAGACTAGCCGCGTGGTGACGTCGGCGATCGAGAAACGAATTCTGCCCTCTCCCCCGCCAGCCGTCAAAAACGCGACCGTTTATCGGTCGGTGGGAGGGGGCAGGGGCCGCGGCCCGTCAGTCGATGAAAATAAATCTTGTGTAATATAATAAAGATTTATATAGTATGCTATGTTTACTCGCTAATATAATATATTATAGAGAATATCTTACTAAAAAAAAGGATATACATAAAAATTTCGCGAAAACATAATACTTTACCTTATCAAATAATTTGTGATTTGTGGAGAATGTGCGCGCGTGCGCGCGCGTTTCGGCTGAGATCTCCGATTGTTTAAAAAATATATACATGTACATAAGGTGTCGAAATTTGGACCGAAACATGAAAATTTTCGAGTAAAAATGTGTTTTTTTTTTTTTAAGTAATTTAGCATTTTTCCAATGATGCAATTTTTGACAAGGGTAAGCGAATTTGATTTTATTTTTCACGAAAATTTTCGAGTAATATACGTACTCAATTTGAATGATGTAATTTCGTCATTTGGAAACTATTTTTTCAAAATGGTCCGTTTTTGCGTTGCCATCACTTTTTTTTTACAAAGATACACGATTTTTATTTTTTTTTCTCTAGAAATTTTCCGAATAATACTCAATTTTTATGTTATTTACTGTTCGGAACATGTTTTCTTGATAGTGCATATTTACTTAAATCGTCTTTTATTTTGCGAGTAATCATCAATTTTTATATTGCTATTCATCGACGGTACAATTTTAATTTTATTTTTTATTATTCTTGAACAAAATAACCTCTGCCATCTTTCGTGTCGAAAATTTCCGAGTAATAAATACTCAATTTTGATGTTCTTATTCAAACATTCGTGTTATATTGTTTCGATGGTGAATTTTTGTTTATCATAATTTTACCCGATTTTTATTTAATTTTTCTTGGAAATTTAAGAGTAATACTCAATCATTCGCCATTAAATAAATTTAACGCTATCGTCGTCAATTGCAAAATATTTTTTTTTACAATGGGACACAATTTTTATTTTATTTCCCCCGAAAATTTCCGAATAATACTCGATTTTTGTGTTACTTTTATTATTCAGGATTTTTTTTTCATAAATTCACCTCGGCCTCAATTTTTTTGTTACATATCACCGGTGCAATTTCATTGTTGTTATTATCTTTTTTTGTCGTAAATTTGCAAATAATACTGAATTTTTTGTTAATTACCATTCGCAAACATTTTTTTATTTTTCTAAAAAATTTCGGAGTAATACCCAATTTTGTTTTATTCTTTACCGCTCGTTCTTTTTTATTTCTGTCAATATTCATTTCTCTTTAATAAATTTACTATATTTTTCCGTCACAAATTCCCTCCTACCCCTTTCTAAAGAAGGTAGAGGGAAACTAATAAAATAAAAACTACGAAATTCCCGCGGAGTGTCGGCCCAAATTTAAACACCCTGTATATGCAGAGTTAACGACGGTGCGCATTACGCGGCCATAAGCCCGCGTTTTTCTACGTACGACTAGGCGTGTATGTGGCAGTCTATACGACCCTACGACGTCGGAGGGGGGAACAGTGGCGCGCGTCGGTACATCCGAACTACCTCGCGCACCCCGCGCGTCCCTCCCGCGTCCTGAGCAAACAAAAAAAAATGCTTTCTCGGCAGTTTACGTCAAATACACCTCGAGTGGTGGGGGATCGATGGGTATATTGCTCGGTAAGTTAAAAAAAAAACCAACGACGGGAGAGTGGATCGAATGCCACCCCCATGATAAAAAAAAACACAAAAAGCCATGTCCCCCCCCTCGCCCGCCGCCATCGGGATCGCGCCGGGCGCCGTTATTGCACTGGAGTCGCGACGAGGCGAGTCCTCTTCTAACCTCACTTTTCGGGCGCGGTACACTTGACCTACCGATCGACCGAGTAAAGAGCGATTTGACTTTGCAATCGGCTCGAATTGCAGGAATTCGATTTTTTGGTTAGTTCTTGCCACTTCTACAAAAAGAAAAACAAACAAAACTAATCGAAAGTAACCAAAAGCTCAACGAGGCTCGAGTAAAACTCAAAAATTTCTCAGCAATACTCTTTTTGTTTTGTAGTGGTTAGAGAATGATTTTCTCTCTACAGTGGTAAATTTTTATTATAAAGGTACACGCATTTAGTCTCGAAAACTTCCGAGTAATACTCAATTTTTTTTATTGTTACCTATTCCAAAATTCTTTTCAATAGCGCGTTTTTTATAAAGATGCGCCATTTTTATTTTTCCCTAAAATTGCCGGGCAATACACATTGGATTTTTATTTATTTTCTAGCAGCATTCAGTTTTGTTTTTGTTTTGTTGCCTACAATGTTCGTTTGACTTTTTTCGAAAATTTTCTAGTAAAAATCATTTTTTGTCGTTATTTAGCAATTGGATTTTCTTTTTCTCGAAAATTTCAAAGTAATACTCAAATTTGTTGTCATTTAGAATTTTGCACAATTTTTAATGTTATCCAAAATTTTCAAGTAATAAAAAAAAATCAATTTTTTAATTATGCGAAAAATATTTTTATTTTATTTTTTCTGTTATATGGTATTACTGCTTGTATTGTTTTACTTTTCTCACGAAATTTCTGAGAAATACACAATTTTTTCTTGCTTTATGGTATTTAGAAAATGTTCTTTTCCAATGCCGATTTTACACGAATACATTTTTTGTTGGATATTTAAGTTGCACAAATTTTTATTTTTCTTACAAAATTTCTGAGCAATACCCACCCAATTTTCTCCTTGCTATATGGTATTTAGAAAATGTCCTTTTGTATTCATTTTTTTTGCTATTTACTATTCGAATTTTCTTTAAAAAAAAAAGGTGCATCGATTTCTATTTTCCTCCAAAATTTAGAGTAATACTCAGTCGTTCTGTTGATATTCCGTGTTGCGGAAAATCTCTTTTTTATATATACTTTTATTGTAGTTTTACTTTGTTTTGTTTTTCTCAAAAAATTTCTGAGTAATACCCAAAAAAATTGCCAGCACTACTCACATTTTTCTTCTTGTCACTTAATATTTATAAAATATTAGTTTCCAATCGTGATTTTTTCAATACACGAATTTCATCTTATTTTTGTCGAAAAGTCCCAAGTGAAGTGCACAATTTGAATTTTGTTCAAAATTTCGATGCGATTATCGAATCGATATTTTAAGAATAAAACAAACCAAATTACTCAACGGTCGAATTCGCAAGCCAAGCGCAAAGTCTAATCGCGCTGACATAACTTAACGGACGCCATTTTGAACGCGGGAACACCGAAACAACGCAAAAATAAAAAATTACATTTTTTTCCAAAAGTTTTTTGTTTTTAATTTCCAACGAGCGGACTAGACGTCCCGTTTCAAAATGGCGTCTGTTCGAAAAGTGGCGGCTGCGGCGGCGCCCTGATTGGCGCGAAAAATATTCGTTTAAAAAACCAACAACGATAATTATCATTAAGTTACACGAATCAATAATAAATTAGAAACAATCTAAAGAGAGCCCCGCCCCCCTCGCCCACGTCAATTGTTTTGGCCCGGTCCTATACTGACGCGTTGCTGCTGCTGCTGCTGCTGATGGTCTGTGGCCGAAGGGTTCGACGACTCGTCGTATCCAGAGTCGGAGCTGCTGTCGCTGCTGTAGGGCGGTTTGGGCGCCGTCTCCGTCAGCTGTGCGACGCGCTCCTGGGTCTGGTCGGCGCACGCGCCGTCGCGCGCTTTACACATGGCCGCCATACGTCCCGAACACGGCTTGATGTAGCTCGGATCGATCATCACTTCACCATTTGCACCGCGGAAGATCGTGCCACAACACAGCTCCTCCCTTCGAAGGGCAAAAGAAAAAACGCCGGTTATTGCATAACTTGCAAAAAAAAAAATAACCGGCGAGACCGAAAAACTTCATTTTAACCACAGAGTATTTTTTTTTGAAAATTTTCCGAGTAAAACGGGTTTTTCGTCGTTTTTAGTATTTGCAATTGTTTTTTCCAATAACACCTTTCTTTTTTAAAGAAAAGCACCCTATTTTTATTTAATGTTTCTAGAAAATTTAAGAGTAATAATCAACTTTTTTGTCGTCATTTAGCACTTTCGTTTTTTTTTGTTCATTTTATTTTTCTTGAAAATTTACAAAGCAAAAACCAAGGTAATCGGAAAAACTTCCTTTTAACCACAGCGAAGCGTTTTTAATTTTTTTTACTCTCAATCATTGATGCACACGATTTTTCTATCCTTTTTTTTGGAAAATTTCGGATTAAAACGGTTTTGTTCGTCGTTTTTCGTATTTGAAATTGTTATTTCCAACGATACTTGTTTTTTACTAATGTAAAGCACAGAATTTATATTTAATTTATCTCGAAAATTTCAGAGTAATAATCAGCTTTTTTTTTTTCTTGAAAATTTACAAAGAGAAAACCAAGGGGATAGAAAAAAAATTCATTTTAACCCCAGCGAAACGATTTTAATCATTTTCTCCGGAAGATTTTCGAGTAATACACAAATTTATTGTTTCATTGTCATTTTTTTTTGTTTCTTTTTCTTGTAAAATTTCCCAGTAAAACGGCTTTTTTGTCGTTATTTAGTATTTGCAATTATTTTTTCTAATAACTTTTTTTTTAACAAAAGCACACTACTTTTATTTAATAATTTATCGCCAAAATTTCAGAGTAATATTTTTTTTTACAAATTAACAAAGAAATAACAAAGGGATTTTTTTTTTTACTAAATAAGCTTTATCGTAGAAACTTTCCTTTTTATTTTTTTTTCGAAAATTTCCGAGTAATACTTTTTTATTCCGATTTAGGATTCCATTTTTTTTTTAACTGATTAATTTACTATACAATACGTTTTTTTCAACGATACACTTTTTTATATAAACATTTACACCCTTTTACTGCACTTTCTTTAAAAAAAATTTGAGTAACACAATATTTTTGTTTTTTTTTTAATAGTATTTTTTTTCTAGAAAAGTACACGAATTTAATCTTAGTTTTCTCCAAAAATGTCCAGGTAATACTCATTTCTTGTTGCTAATTTTGATTTAGATATTTTTCCGAGACTTTAATTTTATTTTTCCCCCAAATTGGCGAAGAATACTCAAATTTCGGAAAACATCCTTTTAAAAAATTTAGAACAATCCACTTTTTGTCCCACCTTCCATTTTCAACAATGGTTGGAATATATATTTACTTTCGTTTTTTTTTTAATAATATTCATTTTTGGTCGTTATCTAGCATTAAGAAAATATCCTTTGACATAGTTAAATGGCGTATTGTGTATGATGCTTATTTTACCTATTATTTATTGTTTTATAAATTTACTACCATTTTTCCTGTATCGAAGGACTCACTTTTTCCAGTAATCCAAGTCGATGAAACCGCTCACGCCCTGCGGACACGTGGGGCGCCGCCTCGCAAGAGGCTTGTGCCTGCGACCGGTCTCGACGACGGTCTCCTCGCCGTCGCTCGCCCCAGGACTCGACCCCATGCTCGGCCCCTCCTCCGACAAAAAGTCCATGTCGATGTCGTCGCTCTTGTCGGACAGCGCGGGGCTAAATTCCCGTTCGAACTGCTTCTTCTTCCTGGACGTCGCCTTCTCGTCGCCCTTTTTGCTTTTGCACTTGTACTTGGTGAACGACTTCATGCCGGGGCCAGCACGCGCATCCACTACCTGTTTGGGATACCACAGTTGCATTTTGACCGACATCGTTCGACTCGTTTACGTCGGTCGTCATGGCGACGAGCAACGCCGCCCACTTTATAAATGACGTCGAGCCGTCCCAGCGAGAATCACACGTTACGTCTTTATAATGCGTCACATTGTGTATCCTATACCGAACCAAGAATCATAAGCCTAATAGGATTGCCCAATCCTATAAGACATACGTTCGCCAAAATTATCGATCCCACGTGGTCGCTTGTGACGTAAGCGAAGTCCTCTAACGGTTTTTGTGTATTCTGTCAATACATTTGAAGGTGTATTAAACCGTCGTATTTTGTGTTGTTAAAATTTAACCAATATTGAACTGAGGTGGCTTTTACTTGATGAAAATCCATTTATCAAAATAAATAAGAACTAAAAGTTCAGATTTTCACGAAACGACAACACCGTGTATTTATCAAATGTAGTATTTACAAACTACCTGCTACTAAAATATTTCATTATTTTGATGTTTTAGGTCTCGCTTATTTATAATTTAGGAAGGGTTGAATTTCTATGCTAGATGCTTTGCTCCTGCCTCTATTGAACGGTATCGAAAAAGTCCAAAATTTCCAAAAAAAAAATCGTTACAACCAAATCTAAATTGTTCAGAAAAACCACGATAATTTTCGATCGAGGTCGATTAAGGTACGGAGACGTACCTTTAAAAGATGGTGGGTTATTCAATTGAAAACTTTCTAGCCCCACCGGGGGGGCAAAGGATGGGTAAAAAACGGGGTTTCTCAAATATATTTTCAAAAAATAATATCGGATCCGGATTGCTTGCCCTTCTAAAACCCCTTCTACACAAATCTTTACCTACTTTTGAGAAACTACATAGCAATCATATTTTAGCTCAAAATTTGATGTTTTAATGATATCTCGCTTATTTATAATTTCGAACGATATCTAAAAATTTACTATAGATTATACCGTTCGCCGCGACAGGAAAGATTTTTGTAAGAGTCAAAATTTAAAAAAAAATAGCTTGAGCCCACCCAGGAGCAAAAGATACGTAAAAACGGGGTTTCGTATACCACGCCCTGTAAACCAATCCACCCCCAACCCAAACCTTGTACAGAATTTTACCCGCTTTCGGTTCAAAATCCGATGGCCAATATTCGTTTTTTTCCTAGATTATTTAGAATCATAGGAGGCTGGGCTGGGGGAAACATGTCTATTATAAGGGGTATGGTCTGTTCATAGATATAAGAAAGTGACCAATTGCTTTCGAATGGGATTATCCAACAATGTTTACTTGACTCTTATTGAACGTGGTGCCAGCAAGCAAGCATTGACCACATTGACGAAAATTCCAACATCAACTGTATGGAATATGTGTGAATGTGAATAATCCCATTTCAGCGAGGAAAAAAAGAAGCGATGCTGACATTTTCTCGAGTGTCCATGAAAGTGATGAAGATATAATACGGCGTAAAATTTACCCGTTATACGAGGAACAAAGAGTGCCTACATTAAATATCTTAATTAAGAGGCTTGAAAAAGATGACAAAAGGCAAGTTTTAATGGAATCTTTTAGAATTAGAAAATGGCGACTGGAATATCTAGAAAAAAATTTCCCCGTGTTAACTCCAATGTCCTCAAACTTGTAGAAACCGAAGTTTTTAACATCCCTCCACAAAGTTGGGCAAATTCTGTTAAACATATAGAAAAAGCAGAACAATCGTATATCCATATTGCAAATAATATAGAACAAATAATAATTAGAACAGGCGATGATAGCGATAGTGATACAGATATATTATGTGAATAATTTTAAGTAATTTAAGTAGGTAACAAAAATAATTTTATTTTAAATTTAACCATAAATACATACATAAATATTGCTTTCCTAACAAAACCCCAAATAATTAAATTCTAAGCAAAGTACGGACTTGGTGGACTATATTTCATTCTTACAGCTTGCCCGGGTCGTTCCGTAATTCGTATCAGTCACTTTCTTATATCTATGAACAGACTTTACCACACGCCGTGAACAACGATTTTGGTGAAATGAGATAGAGATAGTTATACACCATTGACTTTTAGTGAATATTAGAACATAAGGGGACATAGAAAAATAAGAGGTTAGTACGTCACTTACTTAAATTCATAAAAAACTCAATTTTGATATTTTCAATGCTGCGTAAATTAACAAACTGAGATATTCAAATGTATTGCTTAATTAACGAGCAGATTTAAATATTTCATTTTTATTAAACTTAAATACCTGGAATAACAATAAGCGTCATTAAGAGTTGACGTACGAGGCTACTTTATTTAGCAGCAGGTGGAGTTGGCCGACATTTGGGAGACATTTTAACTTAAAGTGAGGTTATGGGCCCGACGCGCCACAGACGGCGAAACAGGTACACTCACGTGTTGCCAGTTCCTCTCCGAGCCGGCCGGCAGCTTTTTCCATCGCTTGACGAGCAACACGCACGCGTTGCATATCTCGCCCTGCCTAGGACTGGCCAACTTGAAACACTCTAGAAAGTCCTCCTCGTATTTTTTGCTGTCGGTGAAGCGTGAACTGCTCGACTTCGCCTTGCAGATGCAGCAGCCCGTCGACGACCGGTAAACCTTCGGTCTGTGGAACGAAAACATGACTCGGCCTGCAACGAAACGCATTCCTTGACGCACGGACCACAGACCACGACCCGCGCGTGTTCGATTTCGGCGTAGGTCGCGCACTTATCGGCTGTTATCGGCGGCAACGTTGACCGCGTGACGTCACGAGCACGCGTACGTCTCCCGGGGTTCGTTAACCCCGCGGACCACAGAACGGCGTTGCGTTTTCGCGGCCGCCTCGAATTTCTTGTTTACCGGATCGATTGCACGTACGCGTGCATCTTTCGCGGCGTTGCCGCTCTTCCCCGGCGGCGCCGCGCGTAGGGAAAAATGCGAGAAAATTGTCACGTCGTCGGTTTCGCTTGGCGCATACAGCATAATAATAATCGATAAAAAAAAGAATTCATTTTTCGAATATAGTATCGCTAAAAAGCGTCTTATACTTACATATTACCTAGGTCGAGACTTTTATTTATGTTGTGTTAAATGCTTAGAACTTTAATACCAATTTTGACACTTTGACGATCGTTTTTCAAAATTAATTTAAAAACAAACTCTCGAAATTTATCGATCTTAAGAAAGCGGATTCAAAAATAAGTGAGTTTAATTTGAAAAAACTGAATATCTGACAACAAGGAGGGGTAAAATCAAACGTGGAAATCTTTGTTATCTGTGAAATTTCAAACAAAAGCAAATTTAAAGAATAAACAAATTAAAATTTTTAAATATGGCAATATGTAATTATTAAATAAATATTTTTCCAGTTTTTTGTAGATTGGCGCCCAAGGTTGTGACGTTTCTGACAAATACACATTTCACATACAGATTTCACGAATTTGAAAAAGATTCAATAAATTTCACTTGTCTCAGTGTAACCGTTAAAACAAAAATCCATAACTTTTTAACTTGTAAATATAAATTGTATTTTAAAAAATTTTCTTTTGGTCTTTTTTCTTTTTCTCCAGATTTGAAAATGGTTTCAACGTGCCCTTTTCTATGAAAATAAAATTTCGTCATTGAAGTTATAAAGATAAAAAATTTAATACAGGAAAAATGGTCCTATTTAGAATAACTCAAAGTGCTTATATCCTTAAATTTTCAAATTTATGTTGGTTAGTAAAAAAATGTGACACATTTTTAGTTAAAGCGTCAAGTTCAATAACTTTTGTCTTTAACATTAAACGAATTTTTTAAATTTGAATTTATACGACTCGAGCGCCACCTACCTTGAGATATATGAAACGATATTGGAAGTACGTCACCTGAGTAATGTTTACAAACTGGAGTCGACGAAATAGTGCATAAGTTCTTGACGCTCTGAAGTTGTGGTAAAATCCTTTTAGGCTTTCATTTGTACAGAAACATAGATGAACAATCTGCATTAAAATATTAAAAGGTCTAGGTTTAAAATCTTAGAGATTAACAGTAAGAACCCATTTCGTATAACATTGAGACACCCTGTATATGATGCGATCATTTTTGTGTGATGTACTCATAAAAGTTTTTATTTGTTTCACTTCTAAACTAAACGAGTTTTCTAAATGTGAAGGAAAAGAAAACAAAGGTGGCATTTTGAAAAAAATAAAATCGTTATGGCCGTTTTAAAAATGTATTCGATTATTAATTAAATTATTTTTATTTTAACACTCACACCCAATTAGTGGTATTCTTTAAAGGAAATTTCTCAAAATTCGTAAAAATTATTAGAAATCCATAAAATGTCTGCGAAATCATATGGTGAAAAATTGGAAAGGGAAAGCGCTAAAAATACAGAATACCCATTTTTAACGGTGTATTACTGAAAAACGTTCGCAATTGCTGCCCTATATAAAATATCAACGACGCTAACAATAAAACCGGCAACGTCGCTCCCTCGAAAACGTTTTAGGCTCAAGGAACGCAATCACTCGCAGCGAATCACCCTGTATATTAAAAACATCTCGCCTCGATACGTCAAATGTGTCGCAGCCACCTCGCACGTAATTTAAAAGACGTTTTCCGCGTAACAGCCGTTTCGCCTCGACGATCCGGCAACGCCGCTCAGCCTTGCCACCATTTTACATTTCGCCTAACCCCCATACGACCGGCTGACGAAGTCACGTAGCGCTTGTTGAAAATTCGAACAAAGTAAACAGGACCGCGCTATATTTATTGACAACGCGAGATTACCAAATTCTAGGCGCCTGTTTACGAAGAGAAACACGAAAATACGTTTTAATTGGGGCAGGAGGGGGAGGGGGGAACGCAAACACACACGAGAAAATTTGCCAAAACAGGTGCCGTATTTTTCGAATCGGCTTCCGATGACGCGAGGCGTGCTTTCTAAATCGCCGCAATCGTGTCAAGACCGCAGCCAAGGTTCTCGTTTTCGAAACGATCGGCGACGTGCCGAAGGAATCGCGGTGAAAGCCGCCTAACCTATTTTTCGAAAATCGGCCGCTGGCGAACGCGCGATTTTACGTATTGAAAGAAACTTGGAATCCGTAAGTCCGACCCGGGGGACGCCGAGGATATTCCGTTCGTTATCAGTGAACGGGGGCGCGAGACCGCGTGACATCCTCGCGAAATCGTCGTACTTACCGCGGGCGATCGTGTCCCACGACGTTCCCTCGGACCCGGCCCGTATTTCTTCGAAAAAACCACGAAAAACACCGCACGCACGACACTCACCAGCACAACACACAGATGACGGACCGTAATACCGGTGCGCATCGCAGACGCGCACGCCCGGCGTCAACTCGCTCCCGTTTCGAACTTCACGCGTTAAAATGGCGGTCGATTTTAACGTCGCGACCCGCGAAAATTCGTTCCGGTTTTTTAGTCGCCAAAAGGGGTTCGACGGGCCCCACGACCTAATGATTTCGTGGCACATCCGGTCAAAATGCCGCGCGCTTCCGGCGCGCGAAGATTCAAATTCCTCCAAAGGAAACGAGAACGACAGCCGTTCGGTTTATCGGGTATGCAACCCGCGCGACGGCCCGGTATAACGTGCGGCGGCGTGCCTCGGTAAATAGGGAAGCTCGCCCGATTTCGATGGCCGGGCTATTGTCGAGTTCCATTTCAACGTTGGTTTTTCGATGGTGAAGAAAACGCGTCCGATCGGGTGGCGAATATCTGCACCGTCGGAATCGGCGCAGCGACGGGTAACGGACCCACAGAAAACGCGGCGCCACAGAACACCGGCGTTCAGTATGGCCGCGCCGTCCGTACAGTGCGCGTGGTAACGTGATATGTGGACGGGATTTTGCGCCGTGATCGGACATTTTTGCGAGATAACCGCCGTCGAATTATCGCCCGTGTTATCGCCCCGGTTTTCGTCGATGATGTGCGGGCGCGGGACCGCGGAAACGGATCATCCGAGCGCCTAATCTCGCGGGTTTCAGTGATGTGATTATCGGACATCCAAGATGGCCGACTCGTACTACCAGGTGAGAGAACGATTATTTCCGAGCCGCGGGGCGACCGGCGCGGGCCCGAGGGGCCTTAAAGTGCGTCGCGGGCCTCGGCCGAGATTCCGGGCCGATTTTCGGCCCGACTCGCCGGGCACGTCGGCCGCCCACGTCCCGTGGCCATTCTGTGTTTATTATTTAGGTTAGATTTAATAACAAACAATTATCGCGTGTATTTACCGTGTCAAGTGATTCACGTCACGCGATAATCGGGCGGCGGCGCGTCCGGAGCGGCTTTTCGGCGGAAAATTCTCGAAAAATGGATGCGAAATCGTCGCCTATAATTAGATCGCGCACGGCCTCGTAATGATTAGCCGAAAAAGAAAAAAAAGAACGCTCAATTTGGTCGAACGTCCTCGACGCGAGAGTCCGGCGAGACGGTCGTCGCGGCCCTCTCGATGTAATCGCGAGTTCGTTTATCGAATCGTTGTTTATCGATGTATCAATGGGGTGCGATAAGGGCGATAAAAGCGGTCGAAACACGATTACGCGCCGCGATTCGCATATTGCGACGCTCGTTTTTTGGGGCGAAGATTCGAGTTTCCGTGCGTTCGCAGGGCTGGAGAAAGTGTGCCGGAAGTCGCGTCGTCGGACATGTCGGTACAGAAACGATCCCGGGCCAAAGTGCGCAACAGGGCGCAGAACGCGGGCCACGCGTACACGTGGGCGGGTCACGACGTTCATTTTTTGTGGGTATGTTTCAAACGTCAAGCGCACATTAGTTTTTTGATTGATAAACAGGGGCGCGGGGCGTCAACGGGGCCCCACCGTGATAAATCGGACGACATGGGCGTACACCGGAGTTTTGGATAGTTGTGTTTAGTTTTACGATATTTTAGCCCTTGGGGAATCTAGATTCGACTGTTTATCCTTTTATTAAGCTTTCGCGGGACTTTTTTCGTATTTTTTGTAAGTAGTTCGACAATTTGTTGGCGTGTTTCATTTGTTTTTTTTTGTTTTTGCTCTGCTTATTTTCTGTTTCTGAATGCGTTTTTGTCATACTCTTTGAAATTTTCAGCATTTTTTTCGAATTTTATCAAAAATTTTATTTTTTTGTCGTTTTTCAGAATTGATTTTTTTTTTCGCGTTAACCGTTTTGTTCTTTTAACTATTTCCAGAATCTTGCCTTAACTTTATTGTTTTCTTCAAATCGATATGATTTTTTTAGCGGCGATTTCTTGCATTTTTTGAATTGTTTTCATACTTCGTCACAACATAATTGTCGAGTTTAGTTGTTTTTTGGATTTTTGCCAAGCTTTTGGAAACTGTTTTGAATGTGTCGAAATCATGTTTGATATCTGGCGATGTTTTGACGTTTTTTTTTTAATCCTTTTCTTAAGCTTGCTCAAGGCTTGCTTGATATTTTTTGCAACTTTTTCGGCAATTTTTTGTTGTTCTTTTTCTGTTTAACATTTTCAGGTTTTTATCCAAATTTATCCTATATAATTTTTTTTTGTCGTCTTTTTTAAATTGATTTGATTTTCAGTTTTTTCTTTTATCCGTCGTCCCTTTTTTCATCATTATAAATTATTCTCTTTTCAAAAAGTTTAGAATCTTTTGTTGAATTTTTTCAACTATTTTTTAACTGATTTTTTTGAAAACTTTTTACGGTTTTGGTTTTGGTTTTTTGGCATTTATTTGGCAATTATCTGCCGTTTTTCTTATTTATTTGAAATGTCTTTGTTTTTTCTGCATCTTTGTATTTGTTTTTATGTTGTTTCATTGTTTCAGTGTTTTTTGAAGTTTTCAGGCATGTATTTTGTAAATCAAAATAGTATTGGAACGTTTTTGTCATTTTCTCACATTCCCAGAGTTTTTCAGCATGCTTTTCTGCTCAGTTTTTGTAATTTTCTTGGGTATTTTGCGATATTTTAACAAAATTTTTCTATTCAAATTTCGGAATGCATTTAATTTATTTCTTTTAAATTTTGCGAAAGTGTTGGCGTTTTTGGTAATTTTTGCAATTTATTAAGCAAGCATTCGCTATTTATTTGAGTTTTTTTTCTCTTTTTTATTTTGGCATGTGTTGTATTTGTATTTCTGTTTTAAGAGTATTGTTAAAAATATTTTTGATTTTTTTTTTCTTTTTTTTTTACATTTTCTTGAGTTTTTCAGCAATATTTTTGTTTTTGTATAATGAATTTGGTTTTCAACATTTTTTCAACATGTTTTACGGTCTTGTATCAGATTTTCCCTTTCATTTTTTATTTTTGAGTTTTTTTAATTGATTTTTTTTGCCGACAATTGAAACGAAATCGTTTTCCTAATTTATTAATTTACCCACGGAATTTCCATATCGCGGCCGTTTCCCGTGGGAATCGGTTTTTTACGCGCATGGGAATCCGGAAGCGTTTTTTTCCCACCCTCCTTTTACGAAGTACGTTCTCCCATTGTTGCGCCCCGACCTCTAGTCGCCACGCGTCGATCTAGTTGGCCGCGCGCGCTCTCATTCTTCTTCTTTTCGTGCGCGGGCCGCGTGTCCCGGCCCGTCCGTCCGCGGTCAAGGCCGATCGGATTTACGCGGCCGCCCCTTATCTACCGACGAACTCGGCGTTATCTCGCCCGTTAATCCCGCGTTATCAGTTTTTTCCGCCCCGCGGACGGACAGGTTCGTTTTTGGGACGTGTGGGATTCGGAACGCGCGAGAGTGGGCGGTGACGGTGCCCGTTATTTATATTTTTAGACGAAAGACCTAAATATTATGTGGAATTTCGGTTGTGCCTCGACCCACGGTTACTTCGATGTCGGTGGTTTTTTTTTACATTATTTTTTTGTCGTCTGGAGGTGGTTTTCGGCTAGGAAAATCGGCGGAATTGACTCAACGACGACGAACTAGCCTTAGTTCGAGTCGGTTCAAGTTTTTCGGTAAATTCGTTCCATTTTCAGGGTTGACAGTAAATATATAATAATAGATTTGTTCATTAGTTTCTTTAAACTGTGTGCCCAATGTCGACGAACTAGCCAAAAACCTTAATAATAAAATTACATGCTCAAAATTAAGTTGTCTTTAGTTCGTTCGTTGGTTAACTGCGGCTAATGAATCAGTTTTCGAGTTAGTTCTTCGCATTTCTACGAATAGTGCAGTCCAATACCGACTAACTAGCCGAAAACGTCCAGAACTGAATTAATCATGGCGAACTACTCAAAACTAAGTCGTCTTTAGTTTGTTCGTGGGTTAGTTCCGGTTTATAAATAGATTTTTGAGTTAGTTCGTTGCTTTTCTCCGAATAAGCCAAAAACATTAAGTTAAACATGACGAACTACTCAAAACTAGCTGGTCTAAGTTCGCTCGTGGGTTAGTTTCGGTTAATAGATAAGTTTTTGAGTTAGTTCTTCTCGTTTCTGCGCACAAAATGTGGAAAATGTTGAGAAGCAAGTCAATCATGGTACAATACTGAAAAATACCGTTTCAGGGCGATTACATCAAACACCCGGTGATCTACGAACTGTCCCACAAGTATGGCTTACCGACGGACAACTTTAACGAGTCGCAGCTGCCGGGCAAGCTCGAGGAGCTCAAGGACATCGTCCGACGCGAGATACGGAAAGAGCTCAAGATCAAGGAGGGGGCGGAGAAGTTGCGCGGCGTCTCCACCGATCGGAAGTCGCTCAGCCACGTCGCCACCATCGTGAAAAACTCGAATTTCAAGCTGACGGAGCTGAAAAATGAACTGAGCGAACTCGAGTCTCAGATCATACTCTCGCAGGGTCAGACGTCGCCGTCGGTCAATGCGTTCTCGCCCACCAACGGAGGTTAGTCCGTTTTTTTTTTCCCGAAATGCACGAAATGTCATAGTTCGCGCATACTAGACGGTTTTAATCGCTACGTCAGTGAGCTAGCCAGATTTTTGAATTTGCTCGCTTCAACTAGACCGGTTCTGGGCAATAAGCAGGCGTTGAAACGAATTACATGGAGTAGACCGGTGACCGAACTGGCCATATAAATTTGCCCGAACTATCCAAATATCTTCGCTTGCGATTAAACTAACCAAATTTCTAACGAACTGGGCAAGTGTCTTCTGAATGCTTGTAAACTAAGCCATATTTCCGACTATACCCGAACTAGCCATATTTTATGAATGGATTATAGAAATTGCTAGAACTAGGCAGGTGTCTTCGCTTTGCGAGTGAACTGGCTATATTTCCGGTTCTGTTTTTGCAAACTAGACAGGTGTCTGTGCACTGCGTGTGAAGTAGCCCAATCTCCGGTTCATTTCTCCCCATCAGGAAAGCTGTCTTCGCATTGTGCGCGATCTACGACTGAGTGTGCCCGAACTAACCATAGTTTCCGAATGAATTATAGAATTCGCTAGACCTAGGCGGGTGTCTTCGCTTTGCGAACTAGCCATATTGTTTGAGTGAATTAATATAAGTTGCCCGAACTAAACAGGTGTCTTCGTATTTCATACGAGTAAGCGTGTCCTAACTAGATGTATTTTTTTGAATCAATTTATAAAGTTCGCCCGAACTAGACAGGTGTCTTCGCATTTCATACGAGTAAGCGTGTCCTAACTAGATGTATTTTTTGAATCAATTAATAAAGTTTGCCCGAAATAGACGGGGGCGTGGGGGGAACTAGCCAACCGTGAATTTTCGCGTTTTGTCGTCAGATTCTTTGCATCGTTTGGGCGGGTCGCCGGCGAACGACAAAATCAGCCCCAGCCACCAGAGTCGGATCGAGAACCTGGAGAAACAGTTGAATATCGAGCTCAAGGTCAAACAGGGGGCGGAGAACATGATACAGAGCATCACAGCGTCGCGCGACAAGAAGCTGCTGCTCGAGGCGCAGCAGATGTTGCAGGACTCGAAGAAGAAGATCGAGTATTTGCGGATGAAGATCACCAAGGTGAGCGGTGCGGGTTTTATCTTTCGCGTCACCCATCGCGAGCGTTATTATTTACGGCTGTTGTTTATCGTCGTTGTCTGCACGCTCCGCGGTTATTGTTTTGTTTGAATTTTAAAAATTACCGGCGATGTTGACGGAAAAGGAGCGCGCCACTGTTTATTTCTCCATTTCGTCTCGGGTTTTTTTTTTTCGTATCTCGCTGCGGATAATACCGAAGAGAAAAAACCAGTGGCGCGCATTCGCTTATACAATTTCGGATGAGAAAAACGTGCGATCAGATGAAGCACGACATCGACTCGAAATCGAAGGGCGGATCTACCCACGACCTCACCTTGAACGGGGAGTACGCGGGCGGCGTCCCCGGGCTGGACCTGCAGCCCGCCGTCGACGAGCGCATCGAAGAGCTGAAGCACCGGCTCCGCGTGGAGGCGGCCGTCGTCGAAGGCGCCAAAAATGTGATAAAACTGCTCCAGAACGGCAACAAAGACAAGAGCGATCGCAAGGCCTTGTCGGAGGTAAGCGTTGTTCGATCCCCCACTCCCCCGGAAACCCTCGGTCGACGTTTTGTTAAGCCGCGGCACGCCAATGCGTGTCATATGTGAAAACGAGTTTTTTGTTTTGTAAAATATGGTAAATACTTGTTATCGCACGCCTATGGTGGTATTTGTGTAAACTTTCTACGCCAATGCTTCAGATCGCGTATTTCGACAGTAAAGTCTGTACATAGACATAAGAAAGTGACTAAGTGATACGAATTAAGGAGACCCGGGCAAGCTGTAAGAATGAAATACGGCCGAACGGGTCCGTACTTTGCTCAGAATTTAATTATTTGGGGTTTTGTTAGGAAAGATACTAAACACCTACCTTAAATTACTTAAAATTAGTCACATAATATATCAGTATCACTGTCGCTATCATCGCCTGTTGCAGAATGTTTTCGTCTAATTTAATAGGAAAAGAACTGTGGAATTTTCTTGCGTGACGCACGCTAATGGTTTGGCGGAGATAATTAAAAATTTTTTTTTTCACTTCCTAGGGTACGCCTATGGCATCTTTTGAAAAATTTTCAACCGCGGATTTTTTTTTGCCTATTTTTCAAATTTCCATAAAGCTGTCGAGTTTTTTGATTTTTATTGTTTTTTCGCCGATTTTGAAGTCATCGATCTCCGAATAGAGAATGTTACCCGCACGCCCATGGATTTTCTTTTTGAAAATTTGACAATCATTAAAACGCTTTGAAAACTTTTATGTTATATTTCCGCAACACACGCTTTTTAAAATTCCATACGCACGCCCATGATTTTTATTTTAAAATTAGGCGATCGCTTTCGAAAATTTTGATTCGAGCGCCAGTGGATTATTTTTTGTTTTTTCGCCATTTTACAGACATCGATCTCCAAATAGACATTGAGCTGTTATAGAAAACGAAATGGATTTTTTTTTTTTGAAAATTTTACAATCGTTGAACCCTTTTAACAATTTTCGTATATTTGCGTCCTTGCAGTTCTTTAGTTTTTGAGAAATTTTGGCTGCGCGTCCATGTTTTACATTGACTGATTACATTGATTCCCTTTGAAAATTTGCATACACACGCCCATGACTTTTATTTTAAATTTTGTGAAAGTTATCAGGGTCCCTTAGAAAATTTCAAACGCACGCTCATGAGCTTATATTAAATTTGAAAAATTTCATATGCATTCCCCTGACTTTTTTAAAATTTTCAAACGAGTTCTGAGCCTTTTTGAAATATGGATCATTGTAGATTTTTAATTTATGAGAAATTTGTCTGCGCGTTCATGTTTTTTAAATTTCAATTTTACAATCGTTTAACCCCTTTTAAAATTTTCATGTGCACACCAGTGACTTTCATTTTAAATTTCGAAAAAGGTGTCGAGCTCTTTGCGAAAATTTCACGTGCACGCACATGACTTTCTATTAAATTTCGAAAAAGTTATCGAGCCTTTTAGAAAATTTGATGTGCATTCCCGTGACTGACTGTGTCATTATAGTTTTTTATTTTTTGAAAAATTTCGTCTGCACAATCGTCGAACCCCCTTGAAAATTTTTATACACACGCCCATGACTGTTATTATAAATTTTCTGAATGGTATCGAGCCCCCTTCGAAAATTTCACATTAATATTTCCTGTAATTGGGTCATGTTACCTGTTGGAAATCAAGTGCTATATTATTAATGTTATTATTATAGTTTGTTAGAAATTATCCGCGTACCCATGTTTTTTTTTTGTCTATTTGACAAACGCGCGCCGCTACCGAAATTGCACCGTACGAACTATAAGGAAACCCTGAAATAAACTGCTCGGCGCGCTGCTGACAAAGAAATTGGTGGGGAGGCGTCGCCCGCCGCCTCGCGGCGACGCGACGCTCGAGCCAGTAGTACGGTCGGCGTCGGCGTCGCCAGTGTCTTTGTTTTTCACAAACGCCGATTTGTTTACAACGTGGACGTGCGATTTTCCGTTTTCGGTGAAACAAACGAGCGTCGACGCGGGTGCGCCGAAAAAACGCGCCGCCTTCGGCGCTTTTCTTTTGTTTTTCTCGTGATGAATGAGTCGCAGGTGGCCGGATGACGTAACACCCTCGTAAGGTAAGTAAATATGTCGATAGTTAAGAAGGTGGTTTATCGCGAAGGCCGAGCGATTTATTTTTTTTTGCGCCGACAAAAGAAAAACGAAGGTGGCTGACCTTTTCCGGCTACGATCGTTCGGTTGTTGTTTATTGCAGCGCACGTACGTAGAGATATCGACGCACAGTCTATTCTGGTGCGAAACAGATGTTCAAGGATATATAAATTCTATTTCGGTTGCGGGCCGAGTCGTACGCGTCGCGGACGATTGTGCCACCGTCGTCCACGTCGTTATTAAAAAAGCGTCGCAGAAAAGCCCCCTTTTTCCTAATTGCTCAGATTTTATAATTTTCCCGCCTTCTCGTTGTTTGTTTTCTCTTTTCTGCCGTTTAAATTTTTTTTCGTGTTTTTTTTTTTCGTTTTTTTGATTATATTTACATCTTCTTGTTTTTTTCGGATTGGCCAGCCTTTTAAAAGTTTATAAAATAGTTATTTTCATTTATCATTGTTCATTTCTTTTCGTTCTTTTATTTTCCTTTTTTTTATAATCTTCACGACCACCTTTTTCAAAACTGTCTTCATACGATATTTCGACTTTCGTTCATCATTGATCATTTATTTGCAAATTTTTGCTTCGTTTTTTAATTTCTGTCTTCTATTTTATCTTAATCTTCGTATTGCCAGTCTTGTTTTGTTCAGTCGTCTTTTTCAAATCTGTCTTGACACGATATTGCGACATTCATTCATCATTGTTCATTTATTGACGGTTTTTACTTGGTTGAAAAGTTTTATTGGTTTTTTAATTTCTGCCCGCTCTTTTATTTTATTTTTTTTATTGCCACCGTTGTTTTGTTTCAATTATTTTTTTGTTAGGTCACCTTTTTTAGGAACTATTTTCTATTTTCATTCCTTTTATATCAATTTTTTCGTTGCGTTTGATTGAGGACCTTCTTAATCGTAGCCACAAATAAAAAAAATACAAGCGGGGGATGCCTTAACCACCGATTATGTACGGGACCCGTCCGGAACCGTCGCCCCCGCGCCAATGGTCGGTCCACGCGGAGTTCACCATCTCGCACCCGGGGGCGAACGACCCCGTCAACCTACCCCGTACCAGCACCGAGAGGGACGACGATACGGGCGGCGTGCGTATGACCTACAGCTGGACCGCCAACGACGGCGACGATAAACCGTGGGCGCCGCCGCCGCCGCCGCCCCCGGACTGGTGCGCGCGCGGCTTCCAAAAAGGCAATCTGTTCTTTACGTCGACGCCGCCGTCGAGATTGACGGGCGACGTCGCCAGTAAGGTGCACGAGTCGTCGGGCTACGGGAGCGACGTGCTGTCGCCCAATTCTTTGGGCGGCACTTTGCCCCGCAGACCCGCGCAGCCCTACAACCGCAAGTGCAGAAGCACCTGCAACATTACCCTGTCGACGAATATAGGTTAGTTTTTTTATATATAAATGACAACTTTTCGCGTTCAATCGGTCCCATCGTGGATTTAACGGTCCCTTACCTCCAAATCTGTTTACTAGTCTCCTCTCAGTCGATCTCGAGGTATATGACCGCTGCCCGCGGCTTTTCGCAATTTTACTTAAGTGTCCCGTCGGATGGTCCCATTGGAATCGTTTAATGGAATCGGTAATGATTTCTCTATTTTTAATGGTTTTTGCTTCAATCCGCAAAATACACGAACACAGATATAATTCCCATTTGCTTTATTGATCCCTTATTTTGAAAAACAACGTCATTGTTCAACAATCGATTTTAGTATCATTTACTGGTTTCAGGTAGACATTTGTTGTTTCGAATATGTCATTCATTGGTTCAAACGCGCAATTCATTGAACCCAAACTGTCATTTATTTTCCTCAACCCGTGATTTGTTATTCCCAAATTGTCGTTTATTGATTCCAGCTTGCTGTTTGTTGATCCCAAACTATTGGTACCAAACTATCATTTATTGGCTTCAACTCGTAATTTATTGGTTCCAAATCGTCATCGATTGATCCCAGATTGCCAATCATTAATCCCATCTTTTAAATTATTACTTCCGAACTATCATTTATTGGCTCCAACTTATATATTGGTGCCCCTAGTAATTTATTGATCCCAAATCTTCATTTATTGATCCCAGCTCGTTATTTATTGGAACCAAACTATCATTTATTGGTCCGGGCTTGTTATTTGTTCGTCCTAGCGTGTCGTTAAGGGAGGCCCTTAGTATCGACTTTGTAGGTTCGGCGCAGTCGGCGCCGTCGGAGGGGTCGCATTCGCAGTGCGGTCGGACCCAAAGTTTGCGGTGCCAGACGCCGTCGTCGTCCTCGTGTCCCAACCGCTACTACGGATGCGGCGACCCGTGGTGCCATCACCCGCGCTTTAACGACGAGTTCGCGTATTCGCTAGGCGGCGCAGTCGGTAGGATATCGCCTGTGCTCGAGAGCGGCGAAGATAGCCTCGGCTCGGGCGCGCCGCAGAAGAGGGACGCGGCCGTCCAGACGTTCGAAATGGTCGACAAGTGCACGTCGCCGTTTCTGCGACCGGATCACGGCCTCCGGACGCGGTGCGCCAGGCGGAAAACGGAACCGTCGCGGCGGGACGCGCCTTGCACGTCGTCCGCCTCCCTCACGCCGGACAGTTTGGACAGCGTCAAGCACGGAAAACTCGCACGAAAGTCCCCCAAGCCGATCAAGGAAGCGTCTCCCGCGGATTCGTTGAAAAAACCGCGGACGGTCCACATCGACGTCTACTGTACCGGGACGGAACTCGAATCGGATGCGGACACCTCGTCCGAGTCGGAGAGCAAGTCCGCGTCCACTCCGCAGACGGTGTTCGAGTCCGAGAGGGTGAAGGTCACCCACAAGAAAGCCGGCGAGGCGGAACTGCCTCTCCAGATGAGGAGGCCTCCCGTCCGCCCGTCCGACGACGACGAAGAGGACGACGCGAGCACCGCGTACCCGTCGAAGATGAGCTCGTATTCGACGATCGGCGACTTTTCCGCTAGCGTCTCCAGCGTGCCGAGGTCTTGGACGTCGTACTCGATGTCCAGCTGCGCCGTCCCGGACGACTACGATTCGGTGACGAACACGTCGTGGAAGGACACGTACTCGGACGTTCACAGCTTGGCGGACAGCAAGTCGAGCATGGTTCCGAGGCGTCTCTTCCAGAACGCGAGCATCGACGAGACGCCCGAGCTCGACGCACTCCAAACTCCGAGCGTCGCCAGCCTGCACCCCAGCGACAGTTTCGAGTACGCCAACTCGGAGGATAGGAGACGCATCAAGCGCATGGAGGAGACGTGGAATAATAAAACCGTCGCGAAAGCTCCGGACAGCGACAGCGACGAGAGCGACCACTCGGCCCGAGGCTGGACGTTCGTCGCTCCGGAAGGCGGGGCACATACTAGGCGTTCCCCCTTCACCGTAGTACCGGGTTTCTGTACCGAGTCGCGTTCGATAGCGAAGAAATTCGGTCCGGTGGTGAGCGCGATGCGCAAACCGGGTCACCACGTGGGCCCCGCCAAGAACCCCGACTGCCTTTGCAGCCACTGCCGCAGCTATTGGGAGAACGGGGCGGGCTACAGGTCGAGGGCGCGGTCCGTCGGCGACCCGCCCTCCCGCGCGGTGACCAATTGGAAAGAGTTCTTGGAGAGGGCGGGGCGCGCCGAGACCCCGCCCCTCCCATATACGGATTTTTGAACGCGCGCACGGCTTCCAAATAAAAACGTTACGCTTTCGCTCGTTTTTTTTTTTATTATTATTCTCGACCGAGGGTTTTATCTTCCTCCCACTCCCACCGATATCGTCCACCTTCCCGCGCAAGAACTAACCGATCGGTCCGCCAGGCGCAGGAGAGTCTGAAGGCGAGCAGCATGAAGCTGGACCTGCTGCGCAGATCGCTCGAGAAGCGGAAATCGGAGCTGCCGCCGGGCTCGCCGGTCGCGCAGCAACTGAAGGAGGAGCTGGCCAACGCGCAGACTTTTAGCCCGATACCGGTCCACTACACGAGCCTGCAGCCCTTCAGGGTGCTAAGCGACAACGGCAAAATGCACCGCTCCTCGTCCACCATCAGCCGATGCGCGGCGGTCACGGGTGAGTGTAGTCTCCCGGCTGGCCAGAGTTATCAATAAAGTTCGGATGTTTATGCACAGAAAACGCTTAAAATATGCGCATAAATGTGTCTGGTTTTTCTATGTACAAAATTTGTTCGTAAGAAAAAATTTGAAGATCTGGATCGGGCAACGTCTTAAAAATGTACCACTCTCTGGACCTATCGTAAAACTAAAAACAGAAAAGTTTGCTTGGCATTATCGATTTCAAGGCTTCGGAAGGATGTTTGAGGAAGTTCCAACAGAGACGTTATGGACAGGTCGGTGACGAAGCCCGCGATATCGGCAGAAACGTCACTAACGATTAATTTTATAAGTAGCTTATAGTTTATAGAATTAATTGTGCCTTCCGTTTCCTTCACTTTTCGCTATTAGGCGAGGGTTCCTTAACATTCAAAAATCGAATTTTTCGAAAGTATCTACGCTCGTATACAAATTTTATGTCTCGGTAACGGTGGGTCCTACGGGATCGCCGTTGGTACGGAAATGATCACCGACGAAAAAAAATTTTACAGCTACCGACTTCAGACTTGGGAGACAAGTAGAAGTCTGGACCCGCTTTTAGACCCTTTAAATTGGGAGCAATAAAGTAACGCGAAGTATTTTTTTTTTAATTTTAGATTTTTTTTTTGTTTGTTTTGACATCCAGAAATACATCTTTTCCTCCAAAACCATTCAAATTTTACAACCACGTGGGACACCCGGTGCTATAAATTTTGTTTCTCGCATTTTTTTGTTACATATAAGTTGCGGTAGTTATGAACAAAAATCCAAAAGACCTTGAAAATTGTTCTTTTAGGGAGTAGACCGTAAATCAAAATTCGTACAAAAAATGGCTAATCGGTTCAACGAGTGTTATAGGCCGTATCAAGGGCTACAATTTTTGTATTTACGATTTTCGTCTGTCACGTACGCTGCCCGCGGTATTTGAAAAAATCCATTTGAAAATTACAATATCTTGCAGTCAATCTAGACCCGACGACGTCATTCACTATTACGGTGTACTGCATGGTTTCAGAAAAGAGGTATTTTCTCGAAAATACTATTGGAAAAATTCATATACCGGGAAACGTGCGAGATCTGGGACTATAACTTTTACTTGCTTCATTTTTTGGATTATGTACAGGGTGTGTCGATTATTCGTAAAAAAAAAACAAAGAAATCCTGAAAATTGCCTTTTTCGTGGGTAAATTATTAGCAGTAAATGAAAAACTATAAAACACGGGATAATTTGGTTTAAACAGTCTTAATTTTGTAACTGCTTGAAAAACATGAAGAGAAAGTCTATTTTATGGTCAATAACTGGAAATATGTACTAAAACTTTCAATAATTAAACGTCCGTCGCGCAGGTACGTTGGAAGTGAGGCTGATGGGGTGCCAGGACCTGCTCGAGGACGTGCCCGGCCGGCCCAAGAAGGAAGCGGACGGCGGCTCGAGCCCGATGGACCTGCGCTTCTTCAAGAAGGGCGTGACAGGGCGCAGCTCGTCGAAAAGCTACAGCGTTAAGGAGGACACTAGCGACGAGATCATGGCCGTGTTGAAGCTGGACAACAGCTCGGTGGCGCAGACCAGCTGGAGGCCGTGCTCGCAACAGGCGTGGGACCAGCGCTTCTCGATCGAGCTGGACAAGTCGCGCGAGCTCGAGATCGGCGTCTACTGGAGGGACTGGCGTTCACTGTGCGGCGTCATCTTTCTCAAACTCGAGGAGTTCATCGACGACGAGCGGGACGGGATGGTGCTCCACCTGGAGCCGCAGGGGTTGCTGTTCGCCGAGGTGCGTGATTCACTTTGCCTACCGTTTATTTACCTTATAACGCGACCAAAGATATAGTGCATTTATTGCTTTGACGTTAGTAGATAAAAAAAGAGGGTTCGGCAACAACATAACCTCAAAAACGTACAATCGCCCCGGTACAGTAAGCCATCCCAACAGATGTTTATTTCGCATTAAGTAGGTCTTGCCTCAGATGGGTATAGTTCTTAAGACTTTAACCTAAATTGCCTTATGTTGGTATATATTACGTACCTGTACTGTATTTATCTTACAGATAAATTTGAAAATAATCAATGGGATGGTCAAAAGGAGAGTAAGGGAAGAAGGTACTTCGCTAGTTTTTAATTAGGTCGTATAATCTGAGACGCTTATAAAATGACTGACAGGCGTAAACATTAGTTGTGCGTACTTTTTTGAAGAAAATGGATTGTGTGTTTTTTTTATCAAAGAAAATTCCCGACTTTCAGTCAAGCTCTGAAGAAGCCCACAGGATGATTTGCGAAACGTCAGCAATTTCGACTAAGCAAAAACCGACGCAGGAGGGATCCAAAAGTTTTGTAAAAAGCATAAATATGTTTTCAAGCTTTTTGGCAGAGCAATTCGTGAAGCGTGTACGTAAAAAATTTCATTAAATTTCTACATAGTACCATTATTAATACACAAAATATTAATTATAATAATAAAGTATCAGTCACTTAAAAAAGCGTCACTATCGCTACTGTCGTCACCTAGTTTATAAATATTTTCTTTTTTTATTACTCGTTTGTCACAGTTAGGTCAACTTTGTACTGATATTTTCGCTACCTCTTGCCGAATTACGTTTATGGCACAATCAGTAAATTTTGGTGCGGTGCAGCTTTCCCCTTGACTATTCCATTTGCAGTAATTTTTCTTACAGTTGACTTCGGAACTTTGGTCATGTCACTTGTTTTTATTGCTGCTCCTGCTTCCCGTTCTGAATTTCTTATAAAATTGTAAACATTCAAAATAATTTGTTTAGCACCCGAAGACAAACGAATCCATTAGGTTCGACTACCATTTCCGCTTCGTCTTCATATTCTGGAACATTGGAACATCTATTTCATTGCACGGTTTTTTAAAAATTAAAAAAAAATTCTATGATTCTAATAAATATTTGTCTGTATTCTAAAAAAGACTGTTGTTTACAAGTCGAAGAACTATGTAGAAGATCAAACATACAAGGAGAATCTAATCGGCAGGCACTCAAGACAAAAATGATTATTTACAAACGTACCTGCAAGATAAATAGACTAAAGTACTTACCCTAATTCTTTGACAAAAGAAGGGCTAGCACCTAAAATTATTAAAGAAAGGCTGGATGGTGTTCACTTCCGTATTTTGTAGTGAAAAAATGGGCAAAACGTTTTCAAACGGGGCAGGAGTCCCTTGAAGATGATTCAAGAACTGGTCGACCAGTGGAGGTCATAACGGAAGATAGTAAATATTACGCAAAATTATTACATAAATTGCAAGACTGCATACGTGGAAAACGTCGAGGAAAACTGACCAGAGGCGTGCGTCTTTTGCACGATAATGCACCTGTCCATATTGCTGGTGCCGCCATTTTAGAGTGTGGGTTCCAACAGATAGGCTATTATTTGTTTGGATATTTGGAAAAGGACTTACGTGGACGGCGGTCTAACGACGAAGTTGAGTTAAAAGAGGGTGTTTCAGCTTGTTTTGTAGACAAACCAAAAAAAATTTTTTTTAAAGGGATTGAGTTGTTAATAAAGAGATGTAATAAGTGTATTAAAGTTAGGAGGGATTATATTTTTAAAAATAATAAAAAATTGTTACTCTACTTTGTTTCTTTCATATAACTCTTAATAAGGATACATGTCACCCGGTGGTTAAATAAACGCTTCTACTTAATCGAAAATTTCAATGTTTGCGGCTAAGGTACCGTAAAATACTTAAAACATAAACGCACTATATTTTTGGTCGCCCAATAACGGGCCGGTTTCGGTGGTGACAGTAACAGAGAACAGACGGGGACCTCCGTTCTCCGTTACTCGGTTCCGACGCTTGCGTTTGTCGCAGATCAAATTCCTGAACCCGATGATCTCCAAAAGGCCGCGGCTGCAGCGTCAGAAGCGCATCTTTAAGCAGGTGATGCCGCGCGCGAAACAGATGAACATCAACATCGTGACGTGGGGACGGTGGATGAAACAGTCGAACCGGGTGCCGAGCCGGCAGAATTTAAACGTCGGCGGCGCGACGGAGGCGACGCTCGACGACGCCCTCGCCGTCGAGGACAAGCCCGAGACGCCCGGCGAGGCGCCGGACTTGCAGGCCGAGGGACTCGGCGGCCAGCGGCCTCTGAGCCTCGGCGTCGCGGCGCCGAGTCCGCCGTCGCCGCCTACGACGGTGCCGCCCCCGATCGCGAAGAAACGGATGTCGATCACGCCGCCACCCGTGCCGCCGCGTCTGGACCCGGAGGTAAGTGTGGCGGAGTGGGCCGGTGGGGACTGCGGGTGGGAGGGGAGCGTCTGCCCGTGTAGACGACTGTCGATTTGCAGAGCGTCGCGGTGCTGAAAGAGTTCGACTTTCTGGAGGAGCAGGAACGGGCGTTTAGGCCCTTCGTTATACCCGCCGTCGCGGCGGCGGCGGCGGGCGTCGTCGTCGTCGACCCGCCGGTACTGCCTAGTCCCCAGCCGGTCGTGGAGTTTCCTGACGACGAGGTACCTTGGCTCGGCAGCCCGGCTCGTTACTTTCGAAAAATCGATGGAATCGATTCTTCTTGACGGAACCTATTGAAATTCGGGGGCTGGGGGGTTTGCAAATTTCCAAGAGAAAAAATAATTTATCGAGAAAATTCTTAAACGGGAAGACGCATAAGATTCGGCTCCGTAAAATTTTTCAAAAATGTACAGGACGCGCCGCAAATTCGAAAAAACTGAAAAATGGGTCCCCCTACTGTTGAAAATTGGCCATAACTGAAAGACGGTGCTTCGGATGTCAGTCCGGTTTCTATGGCGATATAGCTCGCATAAACAGCTAAATCTTTCGACAGCTCTCTTATTTGTACAAATTTGAATATTTAACAAATTCGCCGTCACTTTGAAATTCGGCGAGACTTGAAAGACACTTTCTAAAGGGTGTTTGCACAATAAAATTACATCGATTTTGCGAAAGTTCCATAGTGGTAAAAAAAACAGTGTCTCCCGAAGCGAAGCGGGTTTCTTTTTAAAATACAAAGCTGCTGCGCGCTACGATCTTGCCCCGCCCACCGTCGATTTTTCGAAAGCAATCGTGTTTTTTTTTTGTTGTTACTAACCGAACGGGCGGGGGCCTCAAGTAGCTTCGAAGCCCCCCCCCTGCTTGAGTAGATCGAACGTACCTCCGTCGTATTCTAACCTAAACTCCCGCCCCCTTAAGTAGATAGGCTATGTGCGTTCAAGAGTAAATTTTCTCATTTTTACATGTAAATTCGGTACCCGTATTGGTTATTGACGTCGAAATATATCAAATATTTATCGTCTTTGTGGTGGAGGAGGAGCGGACCAATTTTCGCTAATATGAACCTTAAATTCTCTTATGGGAATTTACATGTAAAAATAATAAAATTTATTCTTGAACGCAAATGGCCTATCTACTCCCGTAGCGCCACCTAGCGGCCGCGTTTGACAATATTTTTTTTGTTTTCCCGCCCCGCAGCCGTCCTTCGACGTGCCGGCGGCGGCGGCGGCGGTCGCGCGTAGACCGACGGCCCGCGAGCTCAGTTATCGCGACAGCGCGTACGAGTCGCGACGCCAGTCGCAGACGCAGGCGGCGTCCATGGGCGTCGACCACTTCCGGCTGATCAGCGTGCTCGGTCGCGGCCATTTCGGCAAAGTGATCCTGTCGCAGTACAAGAACACGGGCGAGTACTTCGCGATAAAGGCGCTGAAAAAGGGCGACATCATCTCCAGGGACGAGGTGGAAAGTTTGCTGTCCGAGAAGCGCATCTTTGAGGGTGAGTTCCGAATTCGGGACGCGAACGGGAGTTTCGCGCCTCCCGCTCAAAACGGCCGCCCGATTATTACAACTGTTATTGGTAACGTGGATGTAACAGAGAACAGATGTCTGTCTGTTCTCTGTTACCCCCCCATCGCGGTATATCGCTTCGATCCCTACGTTATCCAAAGATCGAATTAGTGAACCTGATAATTTGAAACGGGAAAAACCCACAATAGATCAACAGAATATGTAGGGTATTAATATATGTATATAATAAAAAATTCATTTAAAAGTACTGGTTGCTCTTTTTAAGATGCTCTAAATATATGTTTCGTTCATAGTATTTTCATGTATACAGGAAGTCGTTGCGCCAGGACAGTAACCAACTTAAGAGGAATGCTACGATTATTTTTCAAGAATTCCAATTATCCGCTGTATTTTGAGTTTTTTTTGTCGTGCGAAACTTTGTGTGGTTTTTGAGAAAAGGGAACTTTTCCGCAGGCCATTGAAAAAAATGTGTTTTTTTTACACTTGACAACTGGAATTGTCAATTTTGATTGCGGTTAATATTTGATCCTTATCTACGGCGGAAATATATTATACGAGGTGATCGCAAATAACTAGCAAAAAAATGTTTTTTTTTCTAATTAAACTTATTTAAAACTTAAAAACTTATTTATTTTGATAATGTATAGTTGAATATAGGAAATATATTATTTAAAAAAATATAAGTAAAATGAAAAATGATGAGTGATGAGAGGTAATTATAGTCTTTATCGTTCTCATTATTCATTTCTTTTGTAATTTTTCTACATTCCTTCGTTACTATTATGTTTTTGACATTATATTTGGGATACCGCAAGGCTCACACCTCTGGCCTCTCCTGTTTAACGTTTATATTATATTGGATTTACAATCAATCTATTGCAAATAGCTTACAAATGATAAAATACATCTGATTGACTTTTTTTTTGCGCCTTTCAACAGTACAGTGAGATTTTCAAATCATAAAAAACGTCAAAGTTGTAGAGTTTGTTTCTATGTTCTGAGTTTTTTTTTCAAGTTGTATAGTAGTGTCCAAAAATAATTCTCGAAGTCACTTTATATAATTTATCTCCTCTCTCTACATTATCTCTAAATCAATGAGTGTTATAAAAAAATGTTCGAATAAAAAAGATTATCGTTTAATTTTTTTGTATTATTTCCATTGTCGCTCAATTACATACAGGGTGGTCAACTAAAATTGTATATTTTTTAAGAGAACACCCTATATTTTATTACAATTTAAAGTACTGTAGAAATTATAGATTATGTTATTTTTAAAACGGTAACATCTGACAAACCTTTCCAAAAATAAAATTAATAATTTTGCATTAATTTTTCCACACGTCCACCATTTTGAATAATGCAGGGGCAACCTCCAAATGAAGTATGGCATAAGTGCTCCATAAAAAGAAGTCCAGTGCATTTAAATCCTGGCTTCACGCTGGCTAGATGGTGTCATTTTGGCCAATCAATCCATTGTCTAAAATGTATTTAAAAATTCACTGATATCAGCATTAAGATGATAAGGAGCGCCATCTTGTTGCCAAATCAAATTTGGATGTTGCTGATGCTATTTCAGAAATTGAACACACTCTAGTTTATTTTCAGACCTCCAGTAATGCACATTTTTTTTATTATGATGCTGTAAATATCGATTCATGATTAAATTAAAATTAATTCAGTTTAATTAAATCGATTAAATGAAATAATATTGTTCATTTTCTAATAAAGAACTTTTATAATATTTAACAGTATTTAAAAAAACCAGCAATTTTGTAAAAAATATATTAGAAATATTTTCAAAATTAAGCCAGATTTAATTAATTTCGTTGATATTGACTGGAAATAAATTCGAAACGTGAAAATCAAAAATTATACGGGGTGTTTGATTAAAAAAAATTGACAGGAGTCACAGTTTGCGAAACACAGCGCGCTTGATAAAAATATGTCAGTTTTGGTTAGTTTATAACCTTATATTAGAAAATTAAAAATCATTTTACTAGAAACAACTTGTGTATTCAAACTCTTTTTAAAACACTCATAGATTTGAAGGTAAGGTATAAGCCACCCTGTATAACCCACACACTGAAAAATAAAGATTATTATCATTAATAATGTTAGAACATTTTACTCCGTCAATGGAAAATACTATTCTCCTAAACTCCATAGAAAACTTAGCATTAAGAGTGTCGGTTATCCTCTCTAACACGATCTACTTCTTATCGACATTAATTTTATTATTTATCTCGTTAAACGCTACGGACGTTGTTATACTTAACGGTCTTCTTTCGTTTCGCCGCGCCTAAACAAATTTCGGGAAGGTGTATTCGTACGGTTGCCGAATCGACCGGATTTTTTTGTCGTTCTAACGTCGACGTTCGGTCCGCAGTGGCCAACAGCGTGCGGCACCCGTTCCTCGTCAATTTGTTCGCGTGTTTCCAAACGGACGCGCACGTTTGCTTCGTGATGGAGTACGCTGCGGGCGGCGACCTGATGATGCACATCCACGCGGACGTGTTCAGCGAGCCGAGGGCCGTTTTTTACGCCGCGTGCGTCGTCCTCGGCCTCCAGTACCTCCACGAGAACCAGATCATCTATCGCGACCTCAAACTCGACAACCTGCTGCTCGACACCGAGGGTTACGTGAAAATCGCCGACTTCGGCCTCTGCAAGGAGGGCATGGGCTTCGGAGATCGTACCGGCACCTTTTGCGGTACCCCCGAGTTCCTCGCGCCCGAAGTACTGACGGAGACGTCGTACACGCGGGCCGTCGATTGGTGGGGACTCGGCGTGTTGATATTCGAGATGCTGGTGGGCGAGGTGAGTGGGCGGGGCGTCGGTAGGTCAAACGTACCGCCCCGGGCGAGGTTCCGGAATGAATTATAATTGTTTTTTTCTCCGTTTTTGTATTTATATATAACCTAGACTGTTATATATTTCTTATTTTTACCGGCAACGTCACGATCGAAGGATCTTTTTTTTTTAGTTTTGCGGGAATTTAATGAAAATCCGGCTACGTCGCGACCTATACAATTGTTTTCCTGGAAAATTACCGAATATGACATTTTTTTGGGTCCGAACGTTTCCGTTGCTTTTTTTTCTTACGTTTTGTTATTTTTTCTTATTAATTTCCTGGTCTTGCCGAATTTAACATAAATAAATCGCCTAATATTCCGCTCATCTTCTTTGCATTTATTAATTTTTTAATTTTATGTTAAGATTTCTTTTTATATTCGACAACAATCTCTCAAATACTTTTGCTGAAAAATTACCTAGCATTCCGCCATTCAATTCTTTAATTTTACATTATGATTTCTTTTTCTTATTTTTTGTTATTTTCTTTAATAAATTCTCTTAATTTTGCAATGAAAATCCGGCAACGCCACGATCTTTCTTCCGCTATGACCTCCACTGGTCGACCAGTTCTTGAATCATCTTCAAGGGACTCCAGCCCCCTTCGAAAACGTTTTGGCCCATTCTTTCACTACAAAATACGAAGGAGAACTTTGGCCGTACACACCATCCAACCTTTCTTTAATAATTTCTTTAATGGGCCGGGAAATTTTGGCGCTAACCTCGTATTACGTTTTGCTTTCCCGATTTTTTTTTTTTTCATTCTGTATTGTAAGTTTTTTTTTTGTTAATTTTTCGATCTTTCTAAATGTTTTTTTTTTTCGAAAATTGCCGAATATTACGTTATCTTTTCGATCCTGTCGCCGTCTTAAAAAAAAATGCCCATTTTGTTTTTCGTGATGGCAGTCGCCGTTCCCCGGCGACGATGAGGAGGAGGTGTTCGACTCGATCGTCAACGACGAAGTACGCTACCCGAGGTTCCTGTCGCTGGAATCGATCGCGATCATGCGCAGGGTAACGCGTCTTTTCTCGCCCCCACCACCCACTTCTTTATCGCCTCTTTTTTCCGCAGCTGCTGCGCAAAAGCCCCGATCGGCGGCTCGGTTCGAGCGAGCGCGACGCAGAAGACGTCAAGAAGCAGGCGTTCTTCCGTCACATCCAGTGGGAGGAGCTGCTGCACAGGCGCGTGCCGCCTCCATTCGTGCCTACCGTGGTACGTTTGAACTACAGCGCGCGCGCGCGCTCCTCTATCGTTCGTTTTTCCTGCGTTTTAGCAATCCATGGAGGACGTGAGCAACTTCGACGAGGAGTTCACGTCGGAGAAGGCTCAGCTGACGCCCCCCAAGGAGCCGAGACCGCTGACCAACCAGGATCAAAATCTGTTCAGGGATTTCACGTACATGGCCGACTGGTGCTGACATTAAGCGTAGTATAGGTTAGGTCGGGACTCTTCTTCATCGCCGCGTGGTACTGGCAGCTTGGGGACGGTGGTATACGGAGTGTTTCGGAATTCGGGGTGCGTTTTCGGCGGGAGACGTTCGTATGAAAATGGCGAGATTTCTCGAAACGGGGCCTAAAATACCGGTTGCAATAATAAATCTTGACGGCCCGAAAGATAAAGTGCCTACTTACGTAACTATGCTCATCATTATTACTATTATGAATACGATTAATTATCTTGTATATAGCGTTAAACTAACCTCTAGACTAGGGTATGTGATTAATCCATATTTTTCGACGCTTTAATATACATTTAAATTATTATGTAAGTTTTAATACGCATTCGATCCGTTCGGATGGCGAGATTTAAAGGTAACATTTTATTTATACGTTTAGGATACACATCACCGAGTATACATTTTGTTATCGAAAAATAAAATTGTATTTATCGAAATTTGGTTTTATTCCTATAGCAGCGGAAGAAGGATTTATACTTTGCAAGTCACTTTCACTAATGTTAAGCTTCATAAATACCAAAAAAAAAGAAACTCATAAAAAGATTTTATTCTCGTATGCAAAACACAGGAATGTCCATAATTTGGCAAACAAAAAGCCAAAAAATAACCCACATTTGCCTAATACCCCACCTTTGACGAGCATTCATTACCAATAGCCATCAAATACCAAAAAAAAGAAGACAGTTTAGTTAAATCACTTAAGCATAAATGATCTTATTATATTCTCCAAAAATTGGCCAGCAAAAAATCAAATATCGGCCATTTCGTAATAAATAAATTTTGAAAAGAATAAAAATCACCAAACTCCGAAATGAGACTGCCTGGTTAAATAATAATAATGTATTTTCCAACATAAATTTTACAAATGAATAGCGAGAAGCAAATATTAAAAAAATGGCAAAGTTCAAATGAAAGACTCACAGGAGTAACTCCCTGATCCACTTAACCAAGTAGGAAATTAATTAATTTATAAACTTAACCTAGGCGTAGAAGTGTACCTATAATACATAAAAAAAATGAAAAAAACTGAAAATGATATAAACAATTTAGAAAAACATATAAATAAGTCAATAAAAAGCTCTATATATTGCAGAAAATAAACTTTAAACTATGAATGTATGCGTTGCCAAATATTATTTTTATATTTTCGTTTAAAACTCAAGACAGACAACACCTACCTCTACCTTACATTCGCGCCCCAATAAAACCTACAAAACATAACCTAGTCCACATAAAAGCCCAAGAACTAACCCAAATTTAGATAATAGGTTACCTATGACAAACATTACCAGTAACAATAACCATTGAATACCAATAAAGAAGAAGACTGCTTAGTAAAATGACCCCTACATTGGCTGCTTGGTTAAATCACAATTACTTGGCGCTCAAATTATCCAAAAACTGGGGACATAAACTCAAAAACAAGCCAACATTTGCGAAATAACTAGACTTTGACAAACCAGTAACGAATAGTACTAATACGATGTAATTAACTTTCTTATTTTGTCCACTTTCATTGTCAGATTCGTCTGAAATATAAAACTTATGAGTTACTTTTCTATATAATTGTGTAAAGGTTACGCTATATATGCGTACCATTTGTTGTTTTATAACTTATGTGAATGGTGCTGTTCTATTCTAATCTATTCAATGGTCATCACATACTAAAATAAGATGCAGGCTTCATGGTTAAATCACCCTTACAATCTCATTCAAATAATCTTAATCTGGCCATCAAATACCAAAAGAAGAAGACTCTTTGCGTGAATAATCCCTGCATTAGCGCTTAAATAAAAAAGAAGAGCTAATTCTCTGCAACCTAGCGGACAAGTGGCCAAATAAAGCGTAATTAAAAAAAAAACCTAGCAGACAAATCAAACTAAGAATTTACACTTGAGCAAAAGTAAAGTACAAAATCTTTTAAACTTGTGGGAATACCCATTAAGAACACTGGTTGGCTCAGTAATGCTGACAATAACATTAACGTGAGCAAAAAAATAAAAGACAATTCTCTGCAGCCGCCATAACCCAAGGAAATTTAATAGTGATCATAGAAGTAAAGAACCTAAACAAACAATCGCAATTTTCTCAGATACCACAACCTGTAGTATACTGCAACACCAAACCATATCCAGGATGCTTAACTTTTATTTCTTCGAATCAACACTGGAGGGTACATTTGAACTACTTCCGCTCTCGTTACTGATACTGACGGCCACACCGTATCGGGCGGCCTCTTCGAGCACCCGCCTATTCTTTCTCAAGCCAGAGTCGAGCAGTTCCCTCCGGTCGATTCGCAAGTGCTTCGCTGACACTTCCTCTTCGGTGGGTTCAATCAAGCCCTCCGACACGCGATAGTAGACGCATGTAGAGTCGGGATGCACTATGGCCAAAAAGATGCCCGATTCGCCGCAGGAGTCTATTAGGTCGCTCACTTTCGCGAAGCACAGGTCTTCATGCACCGACACCGGCACGAATACCGATATGGTATCCCTTTTGGTTTTCTTACCGCGCAAAACGATCCTGTTCAAGGCGGCGTTGTACTCGTAACCGACGTCCCAGTATTTCTTGACTAAAACGAGGGACTCGTCACGCTAAATTAGTACAAATTACCTGCCAGAGTACTCTCGTTCAGTTCGAGGAACACTTGGGTAGCGATTACGGCCGCCTCGCTCGACACTCCCAGGCGAAGAAACTCTGAAATCTGGAGGAAAACGAGGCGCGTGCAAGCTGGATTTTGTTAAATTTACCAATCGCTCGTCCATTCCTACAAAAAAGGACGCGCCAAATTACGAAACAAAGTTATGCGGTTAGGTTATGTTTTCTTCTTCTTAAATGTCTCAAAGTGAAAGGATTTTTTGCATTTCTCCAATTTACTAATAATGTAAGCTATTAGCCTCTCCAACTTATGAAACTAAAACTAAAATACACAAGTGGACAAGTCGGCAATGCTTCGAATTGATTTGGCTCTGGCCTGAACAGCAGTCAGTCTTCTTCTTTATTAGTATCTGAGGCAAAGTGATTCCGTAAATACCCACTTCTCACACGGAGTAGAATAACAGAAATTAGTTTTGGTTAGTCTTAAATTGGGTACGACTTATCGCGTTACGCAAATAACAAAAATTCGTCGAAAAAATTCTACGACGTTTTTAATTAATCCCTCGCCTTAAATTAATACCCTACGGGGACGCCGATTTAAATGTACCATTTCGTGAAATTCCTCCGGTGATAATCCCGCGAGCCGTTTAAATTGCAGCGATTTTTCTAATTAATGACCCGCGCGAGGGGTTGAAACGTAAACGAGCCCTAATGTGGCCAGTAAATATAACCCAGGGGCGCGAAGCGAAAGAATAAACAATAAGTTTCGTTCGCTCTCCCCCACCGCTTCGTAACGATACGATCTTCGCGTCTCAGTGGCGCACCATCGAATATGGAAAAAAAGGAGGTAATCAAGAACCATACACTTTGGAAGTAATTTTTTGAAACACTGTGATAACGCAATTTGTGGTGGACCTTACCTACAAAGACTATGAAAAATGACTACAATTTAATACGAAAGCGCAGACAATTTCCGAACAGCATAACAGAAACAAGTCAGAACTTTTTGACTTATGTAAGAATTTCCGACACAACTCAGAATTTCTGAGAACGTATCAGATTTTCTGAGAAACAGGTCAGAATTTCTGTGAAACAAGCCGGAATTTCAGGCTTAGGTTAGAATTTCTGAGAAACAAGTCAGAATTTCCGACTTACGTTGAAATTTATGAGAAAATCGTCAGAATTTCTAAGAAACAAGTCAGAACTTCCGACATAAGTCAGAATTTTTGAAAACCAAATAAAAATTTCCGATGTAAGGCTTTCTGAGAAACTGTCATAATTTACGACATAAGTCAATATTTCTGAGAAACAAGTCATAATTTTTGAGAAACAAGTTAGACATAAGTCAGAATTTCCGACACAAGTGAGAAGAAACAAATCAAAAGTCCGAATTTTCAATATAATCAGAATTTTTGTTGTCAAGTCGAAATTTCTCAGAAAAAGGCAGAAATACTAACATGTATTTTTGACTTATGCAAGAATTTCCGACACAACTCAGAATTTCTGAGAAAGTATCAGATTTTCTGAGAAACAAGTCAGAATTTCTGGGAAACAAGCCGGAATTTCAGGCTTACGTCAGAATTTCTGAGAAGCAAGTCAGAATTTCCGACATAAGTGAGAAGAAACAAATCAAAAGTCAGAATTTTCCATATAATCTGTGTTAAACAAGTCGAAATTTCTCAGAAAACGGCAGAATTTCCGACATAAGTCAGAATTTCTGAAAAACATGTCAGAATTATTGAAAACAAATCAGAATTTCGGACAGAAGTCAGAGTATCTGGGAAACAAGTTTCTGACGTAAGCAGAAACATGGCAGAATTTTTGAGAAACAAGTCAGTATTTCGGAGAAACAAATCGGAATTTCTAACGTAGGACGACAGAATTTCTAAGAAACAAGACACCGAATTATCAAATATACAGGGTAAATCGTAAAGAACGGGTTTTTTAGAAAAACTTCTATTATTAAACTGATTTTTTCAACATAGTTTTTTTGTTAAGGAAAAAATAAGTACACAAAAAAATTTTCTATAGCGAAACAATTTTTTGAAAAATATTTCAAGCCTCCAACCTTTCTTGGCATCCATTGAACAAAAATAGTAATATAGCTCTTTTTTATAATTTTTTCTATAAAGAAAAAAATGAAAACTCACTTTCTTTTTAATTCTATCAAAATAAATATAAAATTGCGTCCTTCTACACTACTGTATATAGGTTCATTCCATATAGATTTTTGCTTACTTTTTCTTCATGAAAAGTTTATCAGGTGTGTAAAATCATTGTTAAAATCGATCATCCAGAAGCAAATAGATACCTTAAAAACAGAAGGGTAATAAATTTGGCATGTAATTTGTAGTTTGGTTAATTATTTTAAGTGAAAGGCACATTTTATGGGACGTAATTGGGATTTAAACGATAATAAAACCAAATCAGATAGTTTGAACGGCAAAATCGAATCCTTTTGACAATTGACAAATCAGATCAGAAACCATAGAACAACGTAAACACACTTTAAGTTAGAAAAATATAATAGGAAAACACTGAATTTTAACGTAACTCACAATAAAATAACACCTCTCACAAGAAATATCAATTTTGAGCTGACATATTTCTGATACTATTCGGAATAAAGCAGTACACTAGACATGTTAGCAGCGAGTAATTATCAATATATCAATAATATTGTAACGCCACTGTATCAAAATAAACATCAGGTCTAAGTGGCAGTTCATTGCGTGTTTTTTCGTTTCCCAAAACCCCAGTGAATTATTAATTTCTTACCATCGTACATCTAACATCAGGAGTGGGGTTGAATCCGCGTTTTGATTAACCGCGCGCTGAGTGCCATTAATGTTTTAAAGTTAAAAAATATTCTATTAATAGTTACTAATAGTTTAAATTGGCGCCGCTCTAACCTCGCCACGGACGGCCGGATTCCATTACCGGCGATTTCCCACGGCGCCGCCCGTGGCTTGGCCGGTAAATCATCCTTAGAGCGCGGCGTCCTTTATTTGTTAAGCCCGCTCTTTATAAATTTCGGTATCGGAGCCCATTTTCTCAATCTGTTCTTTTGTTACGGCCTCTTCCTTTTGCCCCGCGTTATTTATCGTAATGTTTTTTTTTCCTCCACGTCGTAAATCGGCCGGATCCGGGCTTAAGGCGGCTCTGATAATTCCCTCGGACAAATCGGGATTTATTGCGACGCGGCAGCGCGTCGAAAAAATATTCCGTGGTCTGTGACCGGCAGCACTGTCATTACTACGTCATATATGCATTTCGGCCGGAGACCAGTAAATATTGAATAGTTGCCATGGTAACCATGGAAGGTGCGAGAAAATAATCCGCGAGAGGGGCAAGGAATCAATGAATATATGTACAGTGAGGTAGTCGATTTTCAAACACAAATATCAAAGCAAATATTTGGAAAAACAGGGAGCGGAATGAAACCACATTTTCAATATGTATTTTATAATAATTATGGTAAAAACTATGTTTTCTTGATTCGTATCGGGCTCGGACCATGGCCTTCAAGGGGATCGTGTTCATATGGCCACATTAGCAACGCCAGGACTTTATTGCATAAAATCGCAATTAATTTTTCACAAAAAAAAATTCTCTTCAGTTTGACACACTTCCCATATCTTCACTGCCATGATTACGAAGAAACTTCAACACAACGTTTTTCACTTTTCTCTGGGGAACTGACACACACCTAAAATATGTGAAATTAAGATGAGCGTATTACCTTTGTGGACTAACAACCTCACCATCGGATATTTTTAAAAATTCAATTCAATCGGAAGTTTCAAAGTGATCGCCACGAACTCCAGTGTCCGGTCCGAGGATTTCATTTTCTGAAAATCTGCATTTGTTGTTTGTTATTGTTCCAATGCGGTTTTTCACTTTTAAAAGCCCCACGCAAACAAAGCAGATTTGGACGTAGCATATACCACTGTAAAATTAAGGTTAAATAACGTAGGCGGCTGTTTAATGCGACGTCGTCACATAACCACGGTGCATTGGTACCAACTAATTTTACGGGTTATGATAATTTTTAATTCATCTACACTTTTTTATATCTAAAAATGTTCTTGTGTGCGTATTAATGCTTCGAAAACTCCGGTTATGTTCGTCACTGGCAACGTTGCCTCAAGATGTCCAAATCACGCGGAAATCTAAGCAATGCCGTTCCACCTTGTTCGAATGTCTGTGGTCTGCGACGATCCAGCGCCGACCGCGACCACTCCGAAAGAACCGGGGAGCTTTCAGCGTAAATCCGAAAAATATGGCGCGGGTGAGGGGGACGGGACATAACGACGGCGATATTTCCGCGTTTGCGGCGGACGCCTTATTTACGGAAACGTTCCCCTAAGAGAAATTTGAGTGGCGAGCGGAGCTCATCCCGCTCCTTGAGAGTAAAATAAACGGCGCTGGCCATCAGTCAGGCTTTGCGGCGGACCTCGCGTCTATGACGTAATAGCTTCGTTCCACGCTTAAATCGCAAACAAGTTCGACCGTCAGATTTTTAGTTACGAAACGAGCGTTAAATTAGCACATTTAGTGGATTATCTTCACCGTTTTTGAGAAAATACTGTCGTTAAAATCTCGCATCAAACGTCCTTGACCATCTGTCAGCGGCCATGTTGGTTGTCCAATGCTGCAAGGTGATTGGTTATAAGAGAGATTTTGAATTTCTAGTTGCTTGGTAAGTTTCTGTGTTATCTGCATAGACAGGACCTCTTAATCTCTAGTATCTGCATGCGTCAGTCGTCTGGATTCGCTTCTATTATAATGTGTGCCTCACAATTTCGATTCTAGGAATTATTATTTCAAATTTTAAGTCAAATTCTGCTGGTGTTGATTGTGTGCTTCAGATGACCCTCCATATTGCCGCGCCATACATTACACAAATTTTTAATTGCTGTTTGGAAGTAGACCATTGGCAAAAAAGAAGAATCCCTTTGTCCAACCTTATCTAAAGTTTCATATTGTCACTAACAGTGGATTTCGTAAAGCTTTTAGTCTACTTTTGCACATCAACGATCACATTATCACCTCTTTAGAAAATGGTCTTGTGACTGCGCTTATAGCTTTAGATTACTCTAAATTTCTACCAGTCTCATCAGGTGTACCGCAAGGTTCCGTCCTTGGACCTATATTATTCTTAATTTATATTTCTACATTTATACATCCATCGAATATTTGAATTTGCATTCATTTGCTGATGACACTTAGCTATTTTACTACTTCGATGGGATGTAAGTGCAACAAAATAAATAATTTCAGAGCAAAAAAGGATTTTTTTATTTTTCTTTATGTTTGGGATAATATGGGTTAAGCTAAATGCATAGAATTATCCCCCCCCCTCATCCCTAAAAAAAATATCGTGTGGTACGCCGCTGCCGCGGCTGACTAACCAAACCGAATTTCTGTGGACGCTGGAACGATGTTTTCAAGAAGGGGGCGAGTTTACTTTGCTCCCCCCCCCCCCCCGGAACATCTTCGCAAACAAAATCAGCAATCACGTTGCGACGCTAATGGAAGCGTTCGGAATTTTTATATATACATGTATATATTTTTAAAAATCGTCGCCTCGGCGAAGACGACGACGGTCTCTGTTTATTCTAGGGGGCCGGGGGAGGGGGGAGGTCGTGCAAACAGACGCCCGTTTGCACCGGCCAATTCTAAGCAACCCCCGTACCGCCTCCAGCCTTAATCGATACGCATACGCAACAAGGGCCACGGAACAGCGAAGAGGTCTGTTCTGTTCTCAGATAAGGCCATACTAAAAACAGCGTACCAGGACCAGGAGAGCGATTTGCAGAATGCAAGTCGATTGCTTCAAATTTCGGACACTTATCGTGTTTCATAGCAAGGTCCAAGAAACAATCGAAAATCGCGAAAAAAAAAGGAGGCAAATTTCAATTTTGTAGCTCCAATGGTTCGAAAGTTATTCAGAAAAACCCAAAAGACGAGAACGGAGAACGGACAAACAGACAAAACATTTTTTTTTTCAACGGTGATCATTTCTGTATCAACAGCGATCCCCCCTACCGTTACCGAGATATAAAATTTTTACACGAACGCAGATACTTTCGAAAAATTCGATTTCATCGATTTTCGAAAGTAACAAGATTGCTTTTGAAAAATCCTCGCTAGGCGGGGCAAGTACGTAGCGCGTAGCACGAAGCAGCTTTCTATTTCAAAAAGAAGCCGCTTCGTGGTCTCTTGTCCTAGAGGGACGCATTGTTTTTCTAACGTGCTCCCGTGGACCATTATGCACCCTGTATAAAGTGTCTTTTACATTTTAATATTCGCAACTTCGTAATTGTTGTAAACTAACCTTTCTAATCGGCACAGAGTAACAATATAACTAGCACTCACGGTTCAGAGTTCGAACGACAACTGAAATGGTTCAAAAAACAATGACCGCACACCAAACCCACTTGAGTATCAATTAAAACCGATTACGGCAGCCACACAAACACTACACACGTTACCGTTTTATTATAGGTTATGTCGTAGGTCGTCTGCTTAGCGCGTCGCGTCCTCAAAGACTCGCAAAAAATCGCGGCCAACTTAATTCGCCGACCCTCGATTCGTCGCCCGGGACCTTTTTCCCCGCAGCAAAAAAAGTTCCGGCCCGAACCGCAAGAAAAATCCCGGCGAATTGAGAGCCGGCAAAAACTTTCGCGCGAGATGCGGCAACGTCGCGCGTTCCGCAACAAAAACAAAACGCGCCGGCCGGCGGAAAAAATGCATGGCCAACTGCGCGGCGCGCGGGACCGACGCGTCGCGTTTCTCTGTCGCGCACGCGATCGAAGTCGCGGCGATCAAACGCGACGTTGCCGCCTCGTCGAATTTCACGACCCACGTCCCCGTAACTAAAAGTTACCAAATAGAACGGAGGAGGAACTATGTTTGCGTCCGTGTCTGATTTTTTATATTTTTATACATCTAGAAGGCTCGTATGTTTTTCCTTCACGCCGACTTGTTCACTGGCCTAAATTTTTAGACATTTGCTATTACGTTTGGTAATTAAAAACGCGTATTTAGCTTTGAAGTTTTGGTTAGCGAATTATTGTGCATTTGGGTGATACCTACAGACTGCCACTGCGCAGTTTTCAGCCGACAGCGGCGTTGCCAATAGTTGCAAAGCCAATAAACGTATAAAGCTCCACGCAAAAGCAGCGAAAAATAAACTGACTGGAAATCTTCTAGCTTTTTTAAAAGGGAAGTTTTTAGAGGTACAGTGTTTTGTAAGATATGTTTATTCGTGCTTTCTCAAAGACGATGTCGACTCGGCTCCAATTTAGGTAAATAATTTGCAGAAATAATTCAGAAATGACACCCAGAGAAGCTGAAAGCAAGTTCTTTGGTTGAAGTGATTTTTTTAAAAGAAATATACTAATTTATAATTTATTATTATTATTATTAAATACCCAATATTACATACAACACATGTATTTGTATATTCCCCCTGGCTTTAGGTTTTTTTGGAACTTTAAAAATATTTCAACAACTTACCATACGTTTTATTTACTTTTAAAATGGAAAAAATCATACAATTACAAATTTTATTGAATGTATTCAGGGTTCGACGCTGAACAATCCTAAAATCGGTGGGAGACGTAAATAAAACGCCCTTGGGTCGCGGGCCGGCAACGCAGTGACGTCACGTCTCGTTCGCAAGTTCCGCTCCCCGCGGCAAAAACCCGACCGTTCGAATTCCTTATCCGCGCGAGAGCCGACAACGCCGCGGCGTTGCACTGCACCACCGTGTCCCGAGTGCCGAACTCGCACGAACGTCGCCGGCCGTTTAGTCGTGCCGCGAGGCCTTTGACGTGCGAGCGAGAGTCTGTAGCGCTGCGTCCGACGAACGGTTCACCTGCATTCTCACCCCCTCAATCACCCGAGTTGCCAAATCATTCATCGTCAGTCTTGTCGGGGACGTCTGCCCGCGTCGAACTGAAATCAACCCCCGCCCGGTCGGTAACGACGAGCCGCGTATTCGCGTGTGTTTCGTGCCCGTTTTGCCGTCGGTAAAGTCGGGATCGTTGCGAAAAAAATAAACAATCGGCGGCTGTGGCGTACCGGTCGCGATGGCCGCGTCTCTGTGAGAGAAAGAACTCGCGTGTGCCTGTGTTATTGTGGTATACTTTGTGCGCTGTCGGGGACCACCGGTAACGATGGATATACTGCCGAGCGTCGACATATTCAGGGAGCTGGAGGATATCCACGACACCGGCTACTTTTCCGCGAAGCCGTCGCTCGAGGATCACTGGCAACAGGTAATTTGATGCACATGCCGCGGACGTTTTTTGTTTGGATAGCCTCTTTCTCCGTTTAAAGTTTAAATGGCCGGTCACGTGACGGCGACGCCGCTCGTCCGCTGCTTTTTTTTGCGTTTACCTTCGCGTCGGGCTCGTTTTTTTCCGAGTTTTCTCATCACGCAGTCACAATAACCGTTAGTGTAACATTTTAGCGTCGATGATTTTGTGGAATTTTTAATCGCAGTGGGTGTTGGTAGAATACGGTCAATTTATCCGGACCCGCATCCATAAAAATAATTCCTTTTCGTTTTCGATTATCGGACCGGGCGTAGGATATTTTTCGTCGTCCCGCATATCGCCGACCGCAGAATTAGCATAAATTAACGATCGACTGGTTCGAGAGCGTGTGTGTGTGTGGGACTCTCCGGTTTAGTAACGTTTATTTTCGGAGGTTAGTGTCGAATTCTGTCGGTGCATCGTAAATAATAATCAATCGCGATCGCGACGATAACGAATCGCCGTGAAACGTGTTTAATGGCATTTCGTTCCGGAAAATACCTATTTTTATTGAATGCTCGCTTTACGATCAATCGTAGCCCGGCTAGCTCAGTCGGTAGAGCATGAGACTCTTAATCTCAGGGTCGTGGGTTCGAGCCCCACGTTGGGCGTTAATTTTTTTTTTTTTTTCGATGGAAATTTTCGTCCCTCCACGTCGGATTAAATCTCGCCCCCGTCTCTTCGGGGGGATTAGTAACCAGGGACACGCGTCAGAGCGGGGGCGGGGGAACGTAATTACGGAGTAGGTCGCGCGGCGGAGGCGGAGGGCGAGGGGATCGGTGTAACAATGTCTCGAATTTTATTACGTCGTGGCAGTCGGCCAGTGGCGCACCGAAAACGAGCAACGGATTTTGTTTTTTATTTTTAAATGGCGTTAGTTAATTTTTTTTACTATGGGTTCCTTGAAATTATCTAAAAAATCCATTTCCTTCTTTAACTCTTTCATGTAAAAACGAATGATTTATTTATCCCCACTGAAGTTTTATAAAAAATGAATTGTTTATTCGCACTGAAGTTTCCATAAAAAATATATCTAACATCTGCTTAAAATAGAAATGAAGATATAGAAATTTTTTTTTTCAGAATTAAATAGTTCCTCCGTAGGAATCTTATGTAGCAGCCTAAAAATTTTGGTAAAGACGTCAATCCAACACAGAATATCAGTTTTTCTATGACAAGTCTTTATAAGCAATATTTTTTTCATATTCGAACCGTAACCATACATTTATGACAATATAATAATTATTACAAACCGAGGGACAAATCGCCAACCAAAATTGTTACATCAGATTGCACACGATTTCACAGGTTTCACAACAGGCAAAGAGTATCGTCATTCTAAATTAAAAAAAATCAAAGCGACCGTAAACATAATATTTTTAAAATGTTATTTCAAAATTTTGTTTCTTGAATTTTTTTTCAGGTTTAATTAAGATTTTTTTTCCATTTCATTGTTTGAAAAATCGCAATTAAAGTTAAATAAAAAAAAACAGAGAAAATATGTTTTATGTCCTAATCTTATGGTATTTTGTATTTCTATTTGGAACCTTAAAAATGTTGTGTGAGTTTGTTGGATCAACAAACGAAAGGGGGGAATGATATCCTGGACATTTTTATAATAATTATGACGACACCAAAATTTCGCGGATTTCATAGATGACAAAGATTTCACGGATTTGGCATCACCCACACCATTATTTACCTAATTTTCATGATTTCACGGATTTCGCGGATTTCACTCAACAGATAACAAAGAGTTCACTGATTTCACAGAGCCAGCCCAACCGAGGGTGCAACCAAGCGTCACCCACATCTTTTTTGCCTAATTTAGTGCTCAAACATCGTTACGAAATTTTATGATTTCCCGATTTCACAAATAACAAAGATTTCACGGATTTCACAGATCCGGCGCAAACGAGCGTGCAACCAAGAGTCCCTCACACCTTATTTACGTAATGGGGAGCTTAAAATTAATAATAAAATTTCATGAATTCACGGATTTCACAGATTACGAAGATTCCACGGGTTTCACAGAGACGGTCCAACCAAGTGTCTCCCATACCTTATTTGCTTAATGGAGTGCTCAGAAATCGTAACAAAATTTTATGATTTCTCCGATTTCACAGATAACAAAGATTTCACTGATTTCATGGGTTTCACAGAGTCAGCGCAACCGAGCGGGCAACCTAGCGTCACTCACTTCTTTTTTACCTAATGGAGAGCTCAACATTTATAGTAAAATTTCATGATTTTTCGCGGATTTCACAGATTACAAAGATTTAACGGATTTCACAGAGACGGTCCAACCAGGTGTCTCCCACACCTTATTTGCTTAATGGAGTGCTCAGAAATCGTAACAAAATTTTATGATTTCTCCGATTTCACAGATAACAAAGATTTCACTGATTTCACGGATTTCACAAAGCCAACGCAACCGAGCGTGCAACCAAGCGTCACTCACGTCTTATTTACGTAACGGAGAGCTCAAAATTTATAATAAAATTGAATGATTTCACAGATTACAAAAATTTCACGGATTTCACAGAGACGGTGCAACCGAGAGTGCAACCAAGTGTCTCTCACACCTTATTTGCCTAATAGGGTTCTCAAAATTGGTAACAAGATTTCGTGATTTCACGGATTTCACAGATAACAAAGATATCACGGAGGTGGTACACCCGATTTCACGCCGGTCAAACTGTACAATCGTCCCGTTTTTCGCGAATTCCTGCATAATAATAGCGCTGCGCCCCAGTGACCGAATGCGGGGGCGCGGGGACGAGGCGGCTCGTCGTCGGGGTGTGAAATAACAATTGACGGCGGCGCTCGACGCGAAAACAATTGCTCGCGCGCGCGACACGGCCTCCTTTGTTCGTCGAAAGTATTTATGAGACGCGCAGCCGAAAAAAAAAAGACAGGTGGCGCTTTCGTCGGAGCCAAGGTCGACGGTGCGGGCGTGTGACGTCGGCGGTATATATATGTGTGTGTGTGTGTGTGTGTGAATCGGAATCGGCGTGACAGATGGGAAACGCGATCTCTTCACTTTTTTTCCCCTTGCTGACACGGAGATCGGGTTCCGTTCACATGGTTTCGTTTGGGACCGTCGCGGACGCCATTTTTTGTTATCTTCACTTGTTGTGTTGGTTCAACTTAAATCGCATGTTGTTTATATGTTTTTTATTAATTATTAGGCTAGGTTAGTGTTAATGGGCAATTAATGAGCAGAGAAATTCGATTGAGTGATGCTGCAGACTCATTTTAGTGTGCTTGGTCCTATGTCCAAGTCATCCGAAACCTTTTTTACTTACGAAAATCGATGAAAATCGTAGATCCTATGGGATCGCCGTTGGTACAGAAATGATCAATAAAAAATCGCGTGTGCAAGGCAAAAATTGTTTACGAGACGAAAAAAATTCTTGGGCCAGAAGAAGCAGAAGATGCGGCTCTATAAACTTTTATTCTTGCCAATTTTTCAAAAATATACTGGGTGCGCCGCAAATTCAAAAAAACTGAAAAACGAGTCCCACTATTATTGAAAATAGGTTATAACCGTAAGACTATGTTCCAGATCTCACTTTCTTTTATATTGCGATATAGCCCGCGTAGACAGCAAAAACTTTTATATATAAGGTTTTCACTATTGTACAGGGTGTTCCCGATATTCCGTGCTGAATGAAAAATGTGTTAAGTGTCCTAAATTTGCAGATATCGATTGCAAATTTAGCAGAGAAGTAAAAGTTCGTGTTCAAATTTAAACGGTAGAAATTCGGCGCAATCGAATTTTTTAAAAATGTTTGAAATTTTTTGAATTTTTTTTTTTTTTTTGGTAGTTTTAGCTTCCAGAAAAATGTATTTTTCTCCATAATCGTTCATCCGATTGGCCAAATTCTTTAACCGGCAGACGCAGAAGATCGAGTGCAATAAAATTTATTTTGGACATTTTTTCGGTTATATACAGGGTTTTCAAATTATAGGCAAAAATCTAAAATTATTAGCCGCATATCAAAAATCGTAAAAAATATTGCTAATTGGTTCAAACGGTGTCATTCTCAAACCACGAATGGCTATTGCCTCTACTTTGAACATTGTTTGATTCATATACAGGGTGTGTCGTTTATAGGCAAAAAATCTGAAAGATCCTAAAAATTTTCGTTTTTGTGGGTAAATTATTGGCGATAAATGAAAAACCGTTAAAGATGGGATAATTTTATTTGAGCAATGTCTTAAACTATGTCGAGAGAGAATTTCAGGTTTCGTCAATTATACGGGGCGCGAGATATTTTGTTGATGTTTTGCTGTAATTTTGAAGTTCGACAAGAAGTGAAGGACATTTTATACAGGGTGCATGCACAATTAAATTCCATCGATTTCGCAAAAGTGGTCCGCGGGAGCACGATAGAAAAACAATGCGTCTCTTTACCATAGGAAACCGCGAAGCTTTCCTTTTATATAAAGCTGCTTCGCGCTACGCGCTACGAACTTGCCTCGCCCAATGAAGATTTTTCAAAAGCAATCTTGGTAGTAACTACTAATAGTATTTGTTCATTCCCGGAATTTCAAATACCCGAATTTTTGAAGTCCACAATACTCTATTGGAGTTCCTATTGATACATTTTGTCTATTGCAGTGGGAGTCATGTTTCCCATCCCATAATTTAGACATTTTGTTTTAGACTAGTGAAAAATTTACCTTAATATAACACCTGACTGTTGGGTTGACCACTTTATCTCGAGAGCCTTCCTTCTTTGAGTGAAATTTCAGTATCGCGCGAATTGTTGAAATATAGCTCCTATCGGGAAATTTTGCGCGATGAAGCGAATATATGCCATCATCTGAGTGAAATTTCATGATTTCGATTCAGATTAGCTGGAAAATTCCTTGAGTTTATTATAAATAAAACACTCAAATGCTTTTTTATATTTATATTGTTAATATTTACTCATACGGCTCAAATTCCCCAT